CCCCCCATTCCACCCCATCCTATCCCACACCACCTCACCCCACGCCATTACACCTATCCCATCTCATGCCATCTCACCCCACTCACCCCAGCCTACCTCTTCCAGAGTTGGATGTTTTAGACAGGCAGTACTGTGGGACTTTGATATCTTGCTTGACTCCTCTGTGCCTGTTTTCTGACCTTGAAAATGGGGATAAGAACCATCCTCACCTTGGGTGGCTGGGCTTGAGGCATGCTGTCCCTCCCAAGGCTGCCCTGTCCCTCCTCAGGGAAGGTCGGGTGAGTCCTCTCAGCCCCACTTCCTGAAGCCGCACCAGCAGAAGAGGCTCAGAGAGGGTCAGTGTCTCAGCTGGTAAACTGGATCTAGAATCCAGGTCTCCATGTCTCCAGCCCTCCCGCCTGGTGTGGTGGACTAGACAGGGAGCGGGCGGGGCCTCGTTTCCTGTGTGACTTCGGGCCTCTCTGAACCTCAGTTTCTTCATCTGTCTGTAGGGATGGGGATGCTGCCCTGTAGAGAAGGATGAGGGTAGCTGTGTGTATAATGCGTCCTGGTGCCTCTGTCTGGGGCACTTCCCTCCCACCTGCCCGTCACAGGTGCTCTCCTCTTCTCTGTCCCGGGCACAGGTGATCACTCTGGAAGGCTGGGTGGAGATCATGTACTATGTGATGGATGCTCACTCCTTCTACAACTTCATCTATTTCATCCTGCTCATCATAGTAAGTGCCAGGGAAGCCGGGGCTCTCGGGCTGCGCACAAGGACTGGGCCTGGTCCTCTGGGACCACAAACCAGGTGGCCAAGAAGGAGAAGGGGGCTTGGGAGTCCCTGAGGAGCCCCCACTGTCAGGAAAGAGAACTGGAGTGGAGGGAGAAGGAGGGGGATTAAAGGCGCCGGTCAGGGCAGCGCCTAGAGGAAACATCCATTACTCCAGACTGCCTTCATTCCTCATTTCTGACCACTGAGCGCTCTTGCTCAACGTTCCTTGGCCTCTTTGTCATCTCGAGGATCTTCCGAGACCTGAGCCTCAGGTGCCACTCAGAGCTGAGTCTTTCTGTGGGCCAGTCGCTGGCACCAAAGCTGCTTTGGGGCAAGATTTGAAGAGAGGAGCCCCACCCTCGGTGTGACCTGGCGAGTCCCTGGCAGTCTCAGGAGTGGGAACAGACTCCTAGTTCTCAAGCAGCTCCTCTTTATTGGGGGAGAGCGGAGATGGAGGCATGACTGGGCCACAGAGCAGGGCTGCCTTCCCTCCAAGGCCACCAGCACTCCCTCCTCCTCCACCCCCACTGCCTTCCTGAGCCAGGCTCATCTGCTTGTCATGCCTGACTGCAGCTTCAGCCACAGCACTGTCCCCAAATGTCAAGGTGATTCACGCCTGCCCTGGAGAGCCCCAGCAGTCTCTTGTGCTGCAGAGCTGGCTCAGGGGGGCTTCCTGGTGACAGGACAATGCTTTGTCCTGGGTTGGCGGGACCTTGACCTAAGACTCATCAGCTGCAGCGAAGTCCCAGTGCTCTCCTGGGGAGGCTAGGGCCTTAGTCCCAAAGGAGATACCCCAGATTAAAGGAGAGGGGCTCAGGTTTGGTTTAGCTTCCATGTCCATTCATTCACTTGTTCATTCTGAACCAGTGTTGGGGGCAGAGCTGAGTCAGGCCTGACCCTGCTCTCGGGGAGGTCAAGGGCTCGTTGAACCATGGCAGGCCAGCAACCAAAGACCACACAGCATCTTCAGTGTTGTGACAGAGGCTGGGAGCCCAGAAGAGGGACGGGAAGTGGAGGGCTTCCTGGAGGAGGTGATGTCAGAGCTTGGAGGCTCAGGGTGGGGGCAGCTCACAGATACTATGCACCCAGACAGAACCTTGCAGTGGAGGGGCTGCAAACCACGGGGATGCTTTGAGGAGGCTGGGATTCCAGGGAGAGCTCTGCAAGGGGTCCTTCTGGTGCTGTTAAACATGGGGATCTGGAGTGGTGAATTCACAGCAGACCTCGGGCGGGCCCCTGAGCTCTCTGGGCTTCCCATGAAGTGGGGTACAGTGATAGCACCTAGCTCATGGGCTCTGGGGGGCTAGATGACACAGACTCCAAAGTGTCTGCAGCCCCGAGCCAGGATGTGTAACCACTGGTACTGAGGCTCCCACTGCTTCCTGGCACAGTGGGTTAAACGCTAACTGAAAGTTGGCAGTTTGAACCCGCCGGCTGCTCCTCGGGAGGAAGATGAGTCAGTCAGCTTCTGTAAAGGTTTTCTCTCAGAAACCCTGTGGGGCCATTCTACTGTGTCCAGTAGGGCCATTATGAGTCAAAATCCACTCGACAGAGTGTGCTAATGGAACTGATGGGTCACAGACAGCCCTGCCCAGGAGAAGAGATGCTGCTGGGAGGTCAAGGATGAAGAGTTCTTATAGAGAGCAGAGCCGGAACAACAAGGCCCTCATTTTACCCTCAACCCTGACCTGGCAGGGTGTGACTTGTGTCTTAGGGTCCTCCCAGACAGGTGGCCCAGACAGGTCAGATACTTGGTCCGGCCACACAGGTAATGAGTATCCTCGGCCCTCACACCAGGTTCTCCAGTGTGTTTTCTGATGGAATAGTCCTATTCTCATCTTGCCAAGCCTCCCATTTTATAGATGAGAAATGGAGTACCAGAGGGGATGGGAGACCTGCCCAGGTTGCCCAGGGGAAGCAGCAGAGGAAGTAGGGCTGGGCAGAAGGCTGACAGGTGCGTTCTCAGGGGAGGGTCTGTGATCCCTCTCATAGGCCTCTGGTGCAGAGTGGGTCTCCTGAAATGCTTGTTCAGTGACTGAGTGAGAAGGAACCAATGGAGAAGGATTTTCCCAGAGTCCTCTGGGCTACAACCACTCATCTGTTAGTTTGTCTTACTGGGGTGGTTTTGAGTGCTACTGTGATTCTGGAATTTATGCCACCAGTATTTTAAATACCAGCAGGGTCACCCATGATGGACAGCTTTCAGCTGAACTTCCAGACTAAGACAGACTAGGAAGAAGGAGAGGCGTACTACTTATGAATGGTTAGTCATTGAAAACCTTATGAGTAGCAGGGGAGCACTCTCAACACCAGAATATTGAATGTTGAAACATGATGAAGAGCACCAGAATATTGTCAGATACAATGCTGGAAGATGAGTCCTTCAGATTGGAAGACACTCAAAATACAACTGAAGAAGAGGTATCTTCTCAAAGTAGAAATGACCATGATGATGCGAATGGAGTAAAGCCTTCATTCAGGACTTTCATTTTTGGCAGGGGCACAACTTAAAATGAAGCCAAACAGTTGTAAACATCCATTGATAGTCATAACATGGAATGTACAAAGTATGAATCTAGGAAAATTGAAAGTCGTAAAAAAATGAAAGGAAATGCATAAAGATCAATATCCTATGCATTAATGAGCTGAAATGTATTGGTATTGACCATTTTGAATCTGATGATCACATGGTTTACTATGCCAGGAATGACAAATTGAAGAGGAATGGCGTCACGTTCAGCATCAAAAATAACATTTCAAAGATCTGTCTTGAAGTACAGTGCAGTCTGTGATAAGATAATATCAATATGCCTAAAAAGAAGACCAGTTAATACCACTATTATTCAAATTTACACACCAACCACTAAAGTCAGTAATGATGAAATTGAAGAATTCTATCAATTTCTTCAGTCTGAAGTTTATCAAATGTGCAACCAAGATGTATTTATAATTACTGGTGACTGGAATGTGAAGGTAGGAAACAAAGAGGAAGGATCAGTAGTTGGAAAACATAGCCTTGGTGATAGAAACGACGCTGGAGATCGCATGAGAGAATTTTACAAGACCAATGACTTCTTTGTTGCAAATACTTTTTTTAAGCAACATAAATGACAACTATGCACATGGACCTCACCAGATGGAATACACAAAAATCAAATTGACTACATCTGTGGGAAGAGATGGTGGAAAAACTCCATATCAGCCCAAACAAGGCCAGGGGCAGACCATCAATATGCAAGGCTGAGGCAGAAGAAAATGAAAATAAGTTCATGAGAGGCAAGCTATGACCTTAAGCACATCCTGCCTGAATTTAGAGACCATCTGAAGAACAGATTTGATGCATTAGACACTAATGATCGAATTGTTGTTAAGTGCTGTTGAGTCGGTTCTGACTCATAGAAATTCTGTATAGGGTTTCCGAGGAGCAGCTAGTGAGTTTGAACTAACAACCTTTTGATTCAAACTAACCTTGCAGTCTAGTGCTTTTTCTACAGAGCTACATCAGACTTTGAGTTCTATTGACTATGTAAAGGTTTTCGATTGCGTGGATCATGATAAGCAATGGATGGCATTATGAAGAAAGGGCATCCAGAACACTTAACTGTTCTATGAAGAACATGTAAACAGTACAAGAGTCAGTCATTCAAACGGAACAAGTGGATACTGAATGGTTTTAAATCAGGAAAGGTGTGCTCCAGAGTCGTATTCTTTTACCATACTTATTCGATCTGTATGCTGACCTTGGGTTATATGAAGAAGAATGTGATGTTATAGGAAGAAGACTCATTAACAACCTACCATATGCAGATGATTCAACCTTGTTTACTGAAAGTGAAGAGGACTTAAAATAATTACTGATGAAGATCAAAGACCACAACCTATGGATTGCACCTCAATGTAAGGGAAGCAAAAATGCTCACAGCTGAGCAATAAATAACATCCTGATAAATGGAGAAAAGATTGAAGTTGTCCAAGACTTCATTTTGCTTGGATTCACAATCAACGCTTATGGAAGCAGCACTCAAGAAGTCAAGACGTATCACATTAGGTAAATCTGTTGCACAAGACCTTTTAAAAGTGTTTAAGAGCAAAGATATAAGTTTGAGGACAAAGGTGCACCTGACCCAAGCCATGGTATTTTTAATAATCCTGGTGTGTCACTGTAGGATAAGCACTGAATTCTAAGGTCAATTTGAACTACAAGGTGTGAGTTCAAACCCACCAGTCACTCCTTGGAAACCCTATATAGGGTCATTATGAGTTGGAACCGACTTGATGACACCTAACAACAACAACAACATGCATGTGAAAATTGGAGAATGAGTAAGAAAGATTGTAGAAGAATTGATGCATTTGAGTTATGGTGTTCAGGAAGAACATTACAGGGACCACGAACATACATATCTGTGTTGGCGTACGTACAGCCAGAATGCTTCTTAGAAGCCAGGATGGCCAGATCTGGTATCTCATACTTTGGACGTATTATCAGGAGGGACCAGTCCCTGCAGAAGGACATCATGCGTGGTAAAGTGGAAGGTCAGTGAAAAAGAGAAAGACCCCCAATGAAATGCATGGCACAGTCGCAGCAACAATGGGCTCAAGCATGGCAACGACTGTGAACTTGACGCAGGACCTGGTAGTGTGCTTAGGGTCACTATGAGTCGGAACAGACTGGATGGCACTTGCAACAACTGTGGGCCAGTCTGCTCCTCCTAAATCCCTCCCCCTGACCAGGGGCCTAGTTCCACAGACATGCTGGGTGGCAGGGAGGTGGGGTTGGGTCAGGGAGAAGGAAGGGCAAGTCAGCTGACCGGAGCGTCCACCTGTAGTGCTATAGTGGTTCCCATTGAAAGGCTTGGAAGAGGATGAAAAGCCATCCTTTCTTGGCTTCAGGACCACTGAGTACTCTGAAAGACACAATAAACACCTGGGAGGGTCTTGCACTGGGGTGGACCCTGAGAGTGTAGGGGGCCCTCAGAAATTACCACCACCTGGGGACCACACCAGCTGGCAGGATCCTCTCTCTATGCTTCCTGGGACAGTTTCACCCTTCCCTCCCAAGTAAGTATAAATAAAGCCACACTGGAACCCTTTTCTGCGGGGAGTGTCTGCACTTGCCCAGGGTCCCAACTTAGAGACAGGGCAGAGCCCAGTTAGGACTCAGGCCTGGGGAGCCCAGGAGGGGCTGTGCCTGTGTGTCCCAGGCAGGATGGCGTCCGTGGACAGAACTGCAGGTCTGGTTTCAGGGGAGCCAGGCCTGGAGCCAGGGCCCTAGGGACTTCCTGGGCCACCCCCCCCCCCCCCCCTGGGGCCTTTGTCCTCTCAAGAGCGAGGCCTCAGCGATCTTTTCCTGTCCCTATCTGTGTCTCTGTACCTCTTTGTCTCTCTGGGCCCCTCCATCCATGCCTCCTCCTTTGTCACCCTCTCCTTGTCACTCCATGCCTCCTCCCGTGCCTGCCCCTCTGAACCTGTCTCACTCTCTCTCCGGGTCTCTCCTTGTCTCTCTGTGCTCTGGCCTTTCTCCCATTGGGTCTTTTTGGGTTGCTGCATCTGTCCCATTCTTTCTTCATTTCTGCTTTTCTGTCTCCATCTCTCACTCTCCACCTCTCTGCCTCCCTCACCTCCTGTCTCCCCATCTCCTGCCCCTGTTCCCCTCTGTCCCTGTCCCTGTCCTCTCCTCCCTTTGGCCACAGGTGGGCTCCTTCTTCATGATCAACCTGTGCCTCGTTGTCATAGCGACCCAGTTCTCGGAGACCAAGCAGCGGGAGCACCGGCTGATGCTGGAGCAGCGGCAACGGTACCTGTCTTCCAGCACAGTGGCCAGTTATGCCGAGCCCGGCGACTGTTATGAAGAGATCTTCCAGTATGTCTGCCACATCCTTCGCAAGGCCAAGCGCCGTGCCCTGGGCCTCTACCAGGCTGTGCAGAGCCGGCGCCAGGCCCCGGCCCCAGGGGTGCCTGCCCCTGTCAAGCCGGGATCCCACTCCAAGGAGCCCAGGCACTACCGTAAGCAGTCCCCAAACTGTAGGCATCGTGGGCTGTAAACATGGCATCAGAAAGGGTAGTGTTAGCAAAGATTTCACATCTTCCCAAAGCAAGAGAACATCCGGGAAGTTCCAGGTCTTTACTCCATGCTCACGTGTTGCCCCCTGGAGTGCTCGTCCTCTCCTCCTCCGTCCCTGTTCCCATCACTGCCAGGCCTGCTAGACATCGCTGTGTAGCCCTTGCCCAGGAGAATCTTGATGCCAGTCCCTAAGTGGGTCCTGCTTCTGGGTTATATCCAGAAGAAAGGAGCACTTCTCTGTGCTCTCACCCCGTGTCCCCCCTGCACTCGAGTTTCCTACTGCTAGCACACCTGAGCCATGGATGAACCGACCCGACGGGGCCTTGGGAATACGGGACTCCTGGGTGCGTGGGCACAAGGCGGACACGCATGACCTTGCAGTCTGTGATGATTTCTGAGAGTTGGTCCTTTAGGCTTAGAAAGGGTTTTCTCATCTGCTGTGAAAAGTAATTCCAGAGGGAGACCGAATGAGTAATACACATCCCCAGTTTTCAGATGTGAAAACTAAGGCTCCATGAGATGAAGGAAGTCCCTTATGGTTACGCAGAGTGTCAGGGACAAAAACTCAGGATATGGAGTGGACAGAAGATTGTGTGTGCTCCTCATCTGTGAAATGGGCTTAGGGGCTCCCATGGCCCTGCTCTGGGAAAGTCCTCTCCCAGATCTTGGATTTGGGGAATTGGAGATTCCTGGGAAGCAAGCAGGGGAATTCATCCTCAGAGCTGCTAGCTACCCTCTTTGGGTACCAGCTGGCTGGCCTGGCCTTGGGGGCAGCAACAGGTGGCCTATGGGCTGGCCCAGCATGTGGACTGAAGAGTTGGAATCTGGGCACAGCTGGCACCAGCATTTCTGGATGACATGGGGGAGGGGTGCTTACTTTGAGGGGTTTCTACTGCCGCCTACCACCCTCTCCCTGGAACATGCATAGAGGAGGTGCTGGGAGGGGTCTTCTAGAAGAAGGTCTTAGAACCCTCGTGCCTCCTCGTGTTCCAGGTGAGGTGTTGGGTACAGTCCCTCATACGGGTGGGTGGAGTAGGTTTTGACCCATCCACCTAGGGCTCCAGGGGAGTGAGAGCTTGTCCCAGACATGAGGAGCTATCTGGGGGCAAATGTGGACATGGTGGGTAAGCCGTCTATGCATTTTTTCCCTCCTTTGGCCATTATAGTATTTTTTCTTCCCAGGCATACAAAACATGTGCACTCTAGGAAAATATGGAAAACTATAAAGGATCAAACCACTGCAGTCCCCCCACCCAGAGAGAAGCCCCTCTTTTGCCCCTTGCAGTAGTACATTAATCACAGGCCCTTCACCCCATTCCAGGGACCCTCTGCCCTCTGTCCTCCCATCTGGTCCCCAAGGAGCCAGCCCCGACTGGTCACTCTTGAGAAGGGCCACTCTTGGGAAGGGCAGTCCCAGGGGCTTCTGGATGAGAGCTTGCTCCTGTCCCAGCAATCAGCTGACTCACGTAATGGTGGCAGGAAGAAGGACCACAGAGGGGTCCTGTCCTAGCTCTGTCTTAAGCTGCTTCTTATCCATTCCCCAAACTCCAGGATGTAAGTGAGCAGGTTGCTGGAGAGGGGCTGAGGATTCCGGAGGGTCTGCTTAATGACTAACCCAGGAAGTGATGGTGCAGTGACAGTTCATGTGTACCAGACCCTGTTCTAGACATGTCCTTAATGAATGAACAGCATCCTCATGACCACCCAACAAGGTGGCATTTCTACCCTCGCTCCCATCTCCCAGCCACTCGCCCTCTAGGTGGGCTGGTTAGGCGGGGCTGGTGTCCTGGTGTGAACATTGATCCTGTCCCCTCCTTGCTTTTCAGAACTGTGCCCACGACACAGCCCCCTGGACCCAACGCCCCACACGCTGGTGCAGCCCATCTCTGTGATGCTAGCCTCTGACCCTACAGGCTGCCCCCGCTGCCAGAGCGAACCCCACCGTCGGCCGTCTGGCCTGGGCAGCACCGACTCAGGCCAGGAGGGCTCAGGCTCCAGGGGCTCGGTTGGAGGCTCTGATGAGGCGGAGGGGGATGAGGCCCGGGCCAGTGAAGATGGGGCCTCCTCGGGACTGAGCAAGGAGGACGAGGAGGAGCAGGCGGATGGGGCGGCCCGGCTGTGTGTGGCTGTGTGGAGAGAGATGCGAGCCAAACTGCTGGGCATTGTGGACAGCAAGTACTTCAACCGGGGCATCATGGTGGCCATTCTGGTGAACACTGTCAGCATGGGCATTGAGCACCATGAGCAGGCTAGTGCGGTGGGCAGCCGGCGGAGGGGGAGGCGGGCCCTGGTTCCAGCTTGCCCCAGCCACCCTGGGCTTGTTGAACTACTGTGTACCTCTCTCCCTGCCATCCTGCCCTTAGCTGGGTCCAAGTCATCCAGGTGGGCCAAGCTCAGAGGAGGGAGGTGTTCAGGGTGTCTGGTGAGTGAGTGAGTGAGTGAATGAATGAATGAAGTTGTGATAGGACTGGGTGGCCCGGCTGTGTGTGGCTGTGTGTAAGGGATGTCAGGCATTCCTAGCAAGCTATCTAGCTCAGACACCAGGACATCCGTTGCCCATCCCTTGCCAAATCTTACTTCCATTTCACGTAAGTCCTCGTCTGACCTGCCTAAAACAACAGGAATTGTCATTCCAGAGGGCCATTCTGACAGGGCTTTCCCCTGCCCCTAAACGTCCATAGCTCCCTATTGCCCTCTGGAAATGACGTGGACCCATCCACGCGGCATTCAAGGCCCCTTGTGACCTTTCTGAAGCATACCTTCACCTGGAGGTAGGACCACCTCCTGTCCTGGTACTCACTTACACGTGACCTTCCTGAAACCTCCAGACACTGGTGGTAGCCTGAGGTGGCCTTGCAAAGGCTCTCTCGTCTCTCTCCTTGGCTGACCCTGTGGCTTTTTCTGTCCTGGATTCTGAGTGGGTGAGATGAGGGGGGGATTGAATGGTGGTCCCAGGACTCAGCCATCAGGGTTCTTAAGTGAAGGCAGTTCAAGAAAGAGGCAACCTAAGGGGCCACAACAAGAACACCAGAGGTGGGACATAGGATGGAGGGGTTGTGAAGGGGTCTTAACACAGATGGCCCAGTTCACAGGTCACATTTGCTATAAAAAGATCAATTTCTGGCACCTACCAGACACTGGGGTACCTGAGTGACAAAAATGGTTAAGTGTTTGTTGACTAGCCTAAAAGTGGGTGGTTTGAACTCATCCAGAGACACCTCAGAAGAAAGTCCTGGAGATCTTCTTCCAAAAGGTTATAGCCTTGAAAACCCTATGGAGCAGTTCTACTCTGCACACGTAGGACCGCCATGAGTTGGAATTGACTTGATGACAACTAACAACACAAACCAGACTCTAAGTAGGTTCCCTCACTCAATGTGTCACACCCCAGTCTTGTAAAGTCACCCCTGTTTTGCAAGCTGGAGACTCTGAGGTCCAGGAACAGGAAGTCACTGGACTAAGATCCCTCAGCCAGTCAGGGGCTAGATTTGAACCTGAGTCTTTCTGTGGCAGGACTGGCTGCTCTGCAGGGCTCAGGATTTCAGCTGCACTTTTGCTTCCCTCCCACCCCCTTTCTGTAGAGCCTGCCCCCCACCTGACTGAACCCCTGAGGTGGCTCACACTCAGTTCCCTCTTCATTAGCGTACTCCATTTAATTTTCTTAACTGCAGTCCCTGGGGCTGCGGAGGCACTGTGTTCGGAGCTGCTGGCTTGCCAGCCATTCCAGCTTAATTAAAAGCGTCCCTGGGAAGGCTGGCGGGGACATGCTGCAGGTTAACTCTGGGGATACAGCCACTCAGACCCAGTTGCTACAAGCCAGCCTCTGGCCTTTGCCTGGCCCTAACCTACTTAGGGGCTGGAGCCCTGGTTGTCTTGGGGGAGGCCCTCCAGAGAACAGCTATTGTTGGGGTGTTGGCACCAGGAGAACCTGTCACAGCTCTGTTCCCAGAGTCTGGGTGCTGTCCCTGCTGGTGGCCTGCTCAAACTGGATTGTGAGAACCAATTTTCAAACACTTCAAAATTTTGCAATGGATTGTTAAACAGTTAGTGGCTTGAAATTGGCCATGATAGGAGTATTTACACCACGGAAATTGGCCGACGTTCCAAATCAGAGTTATTCATCAGAGGCCTGTTTGCTAGTTTCCACCTATACCCTCCAAGAACACCTGCACCAGGGCACCTCTGTCCTTTGGGCCAGCTTCTCCTTCTGCCTGCTGGCCCTGGCCTCCTCAGGGATTTGGCCTCCTGCCACATCCGTCTCATCTTATACCACCATCACATACTGCCTGAACGAGCTTTCTAATGTGCACTGAAGAAGGCCTTGTGTGGTGCTGAAATCCTCTCCCCTCACTGGGCCACAGCAGTCTGAGGGAGGCTGTTTTCCTGGTGACTCTTCTGCCTGTTGGTCTTGGTTTTCTCACCTGGAGGCAGCTACCTCATAGTCATCTGCTGTTGTTCAATGAGCACCTATTAAGCACCAGGTCCGGAGCTACAGCGTCCTCGCAACCACCCTCGTAGCCGGTATCATCACCCTCCACCCCTCCAACACTCTGAAGGCAAGTCTGTTGCCATTCAGAGGTGAAATTGATCCCCCCTAGTCTGGATTCAAAGGAGCTCTGATAGCATAGTGGTTACGAGTTGGGCTGCCAACCTCAAGGATAGCAGTTCGAAACTACCTGAGGTTCCGCAGGAGAAAGATGAGGCATTCTGCTCCTGTAAAGATTTGCAGCCTTGGAAACCCTGTGCAGGGTCACTATGAGTTGGAACCGACTCCACTTAACAACAACAGTCTGGATTGGTTCCATCCCTGACTCTGCTGTTGAACAGTGTGATAACCTTGGGAGGCCCTTGGTGTCCCCATCTGTGAATGGGTCACCTGCCCCCTTTTCACAGAGCTGCTGGAGGCTTCCAGGCATTGCGAATCCTGGCACATAGTAGGTGCTCAATTAAGTAGGAATTATTGATGAATCCTTCAGCTGACGTTTCCAGCCACCACCTCTGAGACAAGTTTACCATCCATTATCTAAAGCTTCTAAAAATTAATAAATTAAAGAAAAAGTGAGGGGGAGGGAGGATTTTAAACATGTTCTTTTTGAAGCTGCTCTGAGCCGCAGCCATTGTTCGGCTGGGCTCTGCGCAGGGCCTGCTGGTATTTTTACTCTGCTCCCTCAGCTCCAGACACCGCTGGTGACAAGCAATCCGCCCCCATGTTTATTTTGAGCAGCCCCGTCTGAGGTGGTGCCTATGGGGAGAGGTGACCCAGGGCCACCGAGGGGGGGTGCAGGAAGGGGGAACGGCAGAAGTGGAACCTCAGATGGCCACCCATGCAGCCCCCTTCCACAGACGTGATGACTATGGGGATGCGTACAGGGGTCCACCCTGGTCAAAGGGGGGTGTGCAGGGTGAGGGGAGCCCCAGGGTTTGAGGTCAGGAAGCCTGGGGACTACTTGCTTACACAAGCCTCCACTTGCTCATCTGTAAAGTGGGCTGCTCACAGGTGGTCCCCGATGCCTAAGTCACAAGGGAGCGTGTGGCACCGGGTGTCAGCTTCTCACCTGGCTCCTCCAGGCAGCAGATACTACTCCTGGCAGGGACCAGCCTGGGGGAGGTAGCAGGTGGAGGGTCACTGCCTAGGCAGAGGCCTGTAAGTCACCCACACTGTCAGCGGCCAGTGGTACTGAATGCTTCCAGGGAGGAGGGCGGCATCAGCGTGCGGTCAGGTTTGCTAGGGCCATGCGGGATCCCTTGGGGAGGCCAGGGTCCCACACCATATTCCCTTAACCACTGCTGCCTGTGGGCTAGGCACGGAGGATGGCTTGTTTCCATTGGGCAGGTGGGGAAATTGAGGCTCTGAGAGGTTGAAGGGGAGTTTCCTGATAGTCAGTAGGAGATGGGTAGGCGCAGGTCAGAGGCACAGCTCTGCCATCATGTACACTTCCAGGCTGTGTGACTCCTCCTGAGTGGGGCCCAGCAGCCCGGCATCTTCATCCCATCCTGGAATTGGAGGGTGGTCTTAGCGCTCTTCCTTTAGGTCTCATCAAACCTGGAGAACCAAGGCAGCAGGGCAGGGGGGCAGGGAGCCTCCCCGGACAGGACTGACCCTAGAGGGGTGTGTCTACTGGCCCAGTTCCCAGGGGGCTGCAGTCAGGGCCCCCAAGTCAGTGAATGAGTTTATTCTTCTAGGAAGAGGAAGATGGGTGCCTTAGCTTGACGTTCCAACTCTGTGGGGCCCAGGGGAAAGGGAGGCACTTTTGTGGGTTGCAGTCAAGGAAGGCTTCCTGGAGGTGGTGGCACTGGTGATGGATCCTGAAGGACAAGTAGGAGGAGTACATCACTTAGATGGAGATGAGGGACAGGTCCGGGGACCATTGACTTCCTCCCAAAGTGGGGATGTGCACAGGGGCGGCCAGCCAGCCAACCAGAAGGGCCTTGGTGCTAGCTTTTCCTCATGACAACGGGGAGCCACAGAAGGTTTGTTAAAAGGGGAATGGCTGTACCAAAAGGGAGCCCAAGTCAGGAAAGCGGGGGAGGCGAAGGCAGCATAGGCCATCCCAGATCATCTAAATCTGGCACCAGGCAAGGATGTGGTGGTGGCCCTAGTCTGCCCACTTGCCCCCTGCCCTTACCTCCTCATCTGTTCTCCCACCTCTGGCTGGCTACCTACCCTCAAGCCCCTCCTTCACTGGGAGTATGCGGGGTGTCTCTGCCATCTCTGTCAGCCCCTCTGCTGTATGTCTGTCTGTTGAATTGTCCGACTCCCAGAACGTCTGTATGTCTGTCTCTGTTCTTCGACTCCCCATACCCTATGTCTCTTAGCCTCATTGTCGATATCCGTCTGTCTGGATCCTCCATCCATTTCTCTCATCTCTGTCCTGTCTCTCTCCACACTCCCGCCTCCCCATGTTCTCTCAGTCTGTCTATATTTGTCTGTCTGTCTCTCCCCGCACTGTCTCTTTTTCCCAGAAAAACACTCCCAGGAGTGATGGATGGTCCATTAGAAACAGATCAACAGGTGTGTGGAGAAACAGCTGTTGCAGGGAGGTGGAAGCAGCGGTGACCTTTTGGGAGAGAGCGTGTGGCCACGTCAGTTGTAGGAGCACAGTAACAGCCAGTGTGGGCTATTAGCAACCACAGTGCCATCTCCATGGATAGCCTGTGACCGCTTGGAACTCAAGCCCTGGCTAAGCCAGGGACACTGGCTCCTCCCACCAACAGGCCAGCTCAGAGTCCCACTCCCTCTGTGAGACCGTTATTTTGTGAGTCAGATGTAATTACGGTTGGAATTGGGACTGTCTCCTTTTATCTGGGCTTGAGAGGAGCTGGCAGTTTTATTAGATTTCCCAGACACCAGGCAGGGAGCGGGTGGTTGGGTTGTTCGTCTTTTTTCTTTTTAACCCATATGGAATGAAAGTCAGGCTCCTGGAGCACCCTGTCACCCTGTTTAGGGGCCGGAGGTGGGTGATGCTGGAGGGAGTTGGGGGAGAATCTCCTGCTTCCGTTCTCAGCCCTCCTACTTTCCAGTCTTTGCTCTGGGGTTGGGTCCCTCGGCCTGGGCACCCTTTTCTTCTTTTCCCTGTCACCTGGTAGCCCCCGCTCAGCTTCTGGGTCTCTGCTGAGATTTTCTTTCCTCCAGGAAGTTGCTCCTGACCCCACTAATATTGTCCTTCCTGGCCCCTCAACTCCCCTCTACTTGACTGACCACTTTGATCTTTGTCACCTCGAGGACTCACACCCTGGGACTCCAGTGGCCACTCTGAAGTATCTGTGGGTGCATGGAAGAATGACCTTAGTTTAATGTCTGGCTCTGCTGCTTCCTTGCTGGAATCTCTGAGCAAGTGGCTTCAATTCTTCAAGCCTCAGTTTTCTCATCTGTAAAATGGAGATGCTCTTAGTCACCTTCTTGGTGTTGTTGTTAAGTGCTGTCGAGTTGGTTCCAACCCATAGCGACCCTGTATAGGGTTTCCAAGGAGAAGCTGGTAAGCTTGAACCGCCAACCTTACAGTTCAAATGGCTTTGTGGTCTAGTACATTAACCCACAGTGCCACACTAGGACTCCTTAGTCACCTTGTTGTTGTTGTTGTTGTTGTTAGGTGCCATCGAGTCAGTACTGACTCATAGCTACCTTATGCACAGCAGAATGAAACACTGCTCAATTCTGGGCCAACCTCACTACTGCTGCCACACTTGAGTCTATCGATGCTGCCACTTGGCTAATCCATCTCACTGGGTGTCTTCCTCTTTTTCTCTGACCTTCCACCTTACCAAACATGATATCCTTCTCCAGCGACTGCTCCTTCCTGACAATATGTCCGCAGTATGAGAGACAAAGTTTGGCTATCTTGGCCTCCAAGGAGCACTCTGGCTGCACTTCTTCCAAAATGGATCTATTGGTTCTTTTGGTAGCCCACGGCACTTTCAATATTCTTCTCCAACACCATAACTCAAAAGCATCAATTCTTCTACAGTGTTCCTTATTCACTGTCCAGCTTTCGCATGCATATGAGGCTATTGAAAATACCATGGCTTGGGTCAGGCGCACCTTAGTCCTCAAGCTGACATCTTTGCTCTTCAATACTTTAAAAAGGGCTTGTGCAGCAGATTTGCCTAATGCAATACGTCGTTTGATTTCTTGACTGCTGCTTCCGTGAGTGTTGATGGTTGATCCAAGAAGAATGAAGTCCTTGATAACTTCAACTTCAGTCACCTTGGAGTGATGCAAATGGTTACCTGCTTGGATATGAACTGAAAAGTTGGAGGTTTGTGTCCATGTGGTACCTTGGAAGAAAGGTCTGGCAATCTATTTCTGGAAAACAGCCATTGAAAACCCAATGGATCCCAGCTCTACTCTGACACACATGGATCAGAGTCACTCAATGGCAGCTGGGCATCATGACCTCACAGGTTGTGATGGGGCATCGAGCTGAACAGACGGCCCTCCCCTTGTCCCTGACTTAGATTTCTGCAGTGAACAGAAACCAGACACCTCATCAACAGGGCCACTAGGGGAGAGAAAGGGCTGGAGCCTCATGAAATCTTTAGCAGTGACATTTAGAGTGAGTTTATGGATGAGGAAACCGAGGTACAGAAGGGGACCTTCCCAGAGTCACACCACCATGTAACCATGTAATATCCAAGTCAGGCCTGGAACCCGGGCCTGGGTTCCTCAGTGACTCCATTTGCTGGGCATCACCTGCTGCTACAAGCCACACGACAGGCAGCTCTAGGGACAGAGGAGGGCTCTGTGGCCGGAGGCTCAGCTGGTGACTGTGAGCAGGTCCCTTAATCTGGACCCCAGTATCCTCTGAAAAGTGGGTGAAGGATGTTCCAGTGCCCAGAATGAAGTCAGGTGGTTATGATCCATCACGTGTGTGCTGTGCCCAACATGCAGTAGTCCCTATGTGGTCCCTGTGCCTCCTTCACTGAGCACAGAGGTGACCCCGAGAAAATCATTGCTGGACAGGAAGTCTCCTCAGGGAGGTTTGTGTAGACAGTGGTTAAGAGTGAAGCCCTTGGGACCAGACTGCTTGGATTGAAATTCTGACTCCCCACTTACTAGCTCTGTGATTTTAAACCTGCCCTCTCTGAACCTGTTTCCTTATATGCAAATGGGATCTTGGGAGGGTGTAGAACAGTCCCTGTCATGTGGGACATGCTCACTAAATGGGGCAGGGTCGTGAGTGAATAAGGGAGTTGCTAGAGAGCCCTCTCTTGGTTTTCCGTTTTGCTCTGCATCTAGCCCTATGGCCTCAGGCTGCTTCTTAGCTTCAGTTTTCTCCTGTGTAAAATGGGCATTTGTAAACAGGTAATACCTCTTCCAGTGATGGAAAGAGCAGTAGTAACATCATTTCCACGTTTGTGGAAGTCAAACCTATCATAGGGTTCCCTCCTATCATCTGTAGCGACCTCTCAAACCCCAGGGCGGCAGAATGAGAGATCTCAAGGACAAGTGCAGAGGCAGGGGCAGGGGCAGGGGCAGGGGCATGGGGGTGGTGGTGGATCTCAGCCCCAGAAAGGATGCCGACTTGTATCACACAGCCAGTGTGGCACAGCCAGCTCTGCCCACCTCCCAGGGTCCTGGAGGCCATGAATGTCCAGCTGCTCTGACTGGGTCCCCATTCATTCCCATGTCCTCACAGCCTGAGGAGCTGACCAACATCCTGGAAATCTGCAATGTGGTCTTCACCAGCATGTTTGCCCTGGAGATGATCCTGAAGCTCGCTGCCTTTGGGCTCTTTGACTACCTGCGTAATCCCTACAACATCTTTGACAGCATCATTGTCATCATCAGGTACCTCGCCCACCTGCCCACCATTTGCCCCTCAGCAGAGGGATGAGGAGGGTCCCCAGATCACCCCAGAGAGGATCTGAACCAGTGGTTCTTTACTTCTTCTGTGCCATGGGCCTTGGCCACCTGGTGAAGCCCACAGACCTTTTCTCAGAATACTTTAAATGCACAAAATTAAATACACAGGTTCCAGCTGGTCAGGTTGCCTTGAAATATAGTTACCAAAGTATTTAAACATTTGAGATTTAGCAACATACTTACTTCTTGATGAATGCACCAAATAGCAAGACCTAGCAGAGGGTCTGTGAAGACCATTACTCCAAAGAAGGAGTAAGCATAAAAACTATTTGGAAATACCTGCATCAATTGGCACGTGATATGAGAATATCCATGATTTCAGTTGGTGACAAATTCTAGGTGGTTGGTTTACGTTCATCATTGAAAGGAATGCAGCATCTCATCAGGAGGTCAGTGGCATTCATGGGCCTCCTGAATTCTAGCCACAGACATCTTGGAAAGGGGGTGTCCATGAATGCCCTTATTTAGAGGGTGTCCAGAGCAAAACGGGCAAAACATGTTGGGCGAATGCAAGAAGGAATGAGGAGATGATGGAAATTCTCCATCTCTTGGTTCTCCCTGGTGTCCTCTCCATGCGCTACCTGCTGACCCCATTTGCTTCTCTCCTCTCTCCCCACCACCCTGCCTGCCTGCCCTCATCACTGCAGCATCTGGGAGATTGTGGGACAGGCAGACGGTGGCCTGTCGGTGCTGCGGACCTTCCGGCTGCTGCGGGTGCTGAAGCTGGTACGTTTCATGCCTGCACTCAGGCGCCAGCTTGTGGTACTCATGAAGACCATGGACAACGTGGCCACCTTCTGCATGCTGCTCATGCTCTTCATCTTCATCTTCAGGTGAGCCCTGCCCACCCCTTGACCACAACTTTGGGACCTGCCAGTAGAGGAGGGTGGGCTGGATGAACATTTCTGGGCAAGGCCACCACATAATGCAGCTCTAAATTCCTCTGAACCTCAGTGTTCCTCTCTGTAAAATGGGTCTAGCACTGCCCCACCCTTGACTTGGCCACATTTACTGAGTGGTGCAGAGACTGGGTGTGTGCATGTCTCTCAAGCTGGCCTCCATTGCCCCTCAGTATCCTCGGGATGCACATCTTTGGTTGTAAATTCAGCCTCCGCACAGACACAGGGGACACGGTCCCTGACAGGAAGAACTTTGACTCCCTACTGTGGGCCATCGTGACTGTGTTCCAGGTAAGTGACACAGGCTTGTCTATGTACGTTGGGGTAGAGGGTCTCCCAGGCCTCTCCTGAGGATCCAGAGAAGAGGGACAGCCTGACAGGAAGGGGTCCCGGTGCTCGGCCCAGGCCCTACCACTCCATTCAGTGCAAAGACTTGGTGCCATGGCAGTTCTCCTGTGTGGGTAGCTTGGAGATGGTGGTGCCATGATGATTAAATGAATGGGTGCTGTCAAGGACCTGTGACCGTGGCCTCCCTTTCCTTGGACTGTTGGGGGTGGAGGGGCCCGAGGAAGAAGGGAGGGCTCCTGGCTCTGCATGGATACAGGAAGCCCTGGGGTAACATAGAGGAAGGGGTTGTGGGGGCAGCCAAGAGGGAGGGGCATAGATCTGAGCCCACAATTCAGCGGGTACAAGTGTGAGAATAGGAGTGTGTGAGGATCTGCCAGGCGGACCTGCTCCAGCCCTTGGCTGACAGCCCCAGCCCCTCCCTGAAGGTAGAGGTTGCCTAGAGGCAGGGGGGGGGGGGCACTCGAGGAACTGACATATGCCCTCCACCCACAGATCCTCACCCAGGAGGACTGGAACATTGTCCTCTACAATGGCATGGCCTCCACCTCCCCCTGGGCCTCCCTCTACTTCGTTGCTCTCATGACATTCGGCAACTACGTGCTCTTCAATCTGCTGGTGGCCATCCTGGTGGAGGGCTTTCAGGCCGAGGTGACTGCCGAGCCAGTGGAGGAAGCACCCCCAGGAGCCTGCTCGAGCCTGGACTTGGGGGTGGGGTGGGGTGGGATGTTGTGTCTCTGGATCGGGAAGGGCTGCAATAGAAATTTCTAGCAGGAACACGTCCCCAGGAGAAGGGGCCGCACCAGGGATCCCTGTCTCTCCCCTGGGGGCAGGACTACACACCTCTATCTCTGCAATTCTGAAGCACCCAGGATCTCGATTCTGGATTCTGCTTCCCTTCTTTAGGGCACCTGAGATGCTTGTCAGACTGGCGTGGCTTTGGGGCCTAGGACCTTGTTAGTGCATGACCATAGGCCACCAACTTCCCTGTTCTGAGCCTCAGTTTCCTTGTCTGTAAAATGGGGTGAAAACATCCATTGAAAAGTTCTGGAGGGCCGGGATAGGCTGAGCTGACCTGTGTTCCAATGTCATGATGGCTTCTTAGGGCGACGCCAATCGTTCCTACTCAGATGAGGAGCAGAGCTCATCTAACATGGAGGACTTCGACAAGCTTCAGGAGGCCCTGGATAGTGGGGCAGGTAACTGGGCCTCTACTGGTCAGTCGGGGCCAGGGCCCTTCCCGGAGACCAGGTGGGCAAAAGGCACAGCACCTGGCTTCTCCCTCAAGGCAGGCTGGAGGCTGAAGCACCTGCCACAGCAATACCTGTGGTTTACCTTGACCCTTCTTCACATAGTGCAGCCTTCAGGGATGAGCCTCAGAGCCTCTGGTCCTCAGGTTCTGATCCTGTTGGTACCACAGGGAAGCCTTCTCCACTCCAGGCCTACTGTCCTTGTCAACATTTGGGTGGACACCCCAGAATGGGCATGGGAATGAGGTTCCTATCTGGGTGAAGATCCAGGCTGGCCCGGAGCACAGAGGCAAGATTCACTTTATCCCAAACTTCAGGCCAGGCAATGGGAAGGCACCTGGGATGGGGTCCAACCTGGAAGGCTTTCTGATGGAGGGAGTCTCATCATAAAAGCGTTCTGTTACTGTCCGTATCTTGGTTTGTCTTATGGCTTCCTTTGCTCTTATTCTTTCCTTCTGTCTGCCTGTCTGTCCTTCCCTCTGTCTACATTATCACCCTTCCAGACCTCAAGCTGTGTCCAGTTCCCATGACCCCCAATGGACACCTGGATCCCAGTCTTCCACTGGCTGGTCATCTGGGCCCCACTGGGGGCACGACCCCCGCTCCCCACCTCTCACTGCAGCCAGATCCCATGCTGGTGGCCCTGGGCTCCCGAAAAAGCAGCGTTATGTCACTGGGGAGAATGAGCTATGACCAGCGCTCCCTGGTGAGTCCCTGCAAGGTGCTCTGGACAAGGCTTCTTCCTGGGAAGGTGTTGGGTGCTTCTTCTTGGGGGTGTCTGGGGAGGTGGTCCCTATCCAGTCTCAGCCTCTGGTGCCCAGACTCACAGCACAAGACTGTCCAGCAAAACCAGGCAGAGACCATGTCTGTTGTGTTCCTGGGGGCCCAGCCCCAAAGCAATCAAGAATAAATGAGTGGATGGATGAATGAATGAGGGAGTGAATGAATATGTGGGTGGGGTTTGGTGTAAAGAGAACTGGGTTTTCTTCCTGGCATCAATGTGGAGGGTAAAGATCCAGGTTTTAAGGACCGGCAGATCCAACTTGGATCTAGCCTCTCTGCCACTTATGAGCTGTTGTGACCACAGGCAAGTTACCACCCCTTGCTGAGTCTTACCTGTAAAATGGAAAGAAGACCCTAACTAGGTGTGTTTTCCTCCAGGGATGTAGGTGGACATGTCCTTAACAGAAAGCGTGTGGTGGGACAGAAAGTGACGTCTGTCACTGGTTCATTGGGTGGCCTTCTGAGGGCTTCGTTGGCGGTAGCTGCCCAGGGAATTGTGGGAGCGTGTTGGGTGCTGACCAGAGCCTGGCCTCTCCCAGTCCAGCTCCCGGAGTTCCTACCACGGTCCGTGGGGCCGCAGCGGAGCCTGGGCCAGCCGCCGCTCCAGCTGGAACAGCCTCAAGCACAAGCCACCGTCCGCGGAGCACGAGTCCCTGCTCTCGGCGGAGCGGGGTGGCGGTGCCCGGGCCTGCGAGGGCGCCCGGGACGAGGGCCCACCACGGGTCGCCCCTCTGCACGCCCCGCACGCACACCACGTGCACCATGGCCCGCACGCAGCGCACCGCCACCGCCACCACCGCAGGACGCTGTCCCTCGACACCAGGGATTCGGTGGACATGGCCGAGATGGGACCCGCAGGGGGCGCCCACCCTCGGACAGCCTGGAGGGCTGCGGGCCTGGCTCCGGGACACGAGGACTGCAATGGCAGGATGCCCAGCATTGCCAAGGATGTCTTCACCAAGATGAATGACCGCAGGGATCCTGGGGAGGATGAAGAGGAGATTGACTACGTGAGTGTGGGCGGGGCCCTAAGGCAGGGCTCCAGTGGGAGGGCTTCTAGAGGGCGTGGTATTAGGGGGCGTGGCCAGAAGGGGTGAGAGCTTGTTGTTGTTGTTGTTAAGTGCCGTCGAGTCAGTTCCGACCCATAGCGACCCTGTACAGGGTTTCCGAGAGTGTAAATCTTTACGGGAGTAGAAAGCCTCATCTTTCTCCCGCGGAGCAGCTGGTAGTTTCGAACCGCTGACCTTAAGGTTCGCAGCCCGATTCGTAACCACTACGCTACCATTTCTTCTGGAAAAAAAGGAGGAGGGGCAGGGCGGGGCGGGGCTGGGTGGACCCGCCCCTGGAGGATGAGCCCTCCCTGCCTGCCCTTGGGTGAAGTCTGGTCTTGCTGGAAGTGTTGGGAGGTGATCCAGGGCCCATGGTTTTAGCTGGAAGACGGGAGTGGTCGGAGGTAGGAGATTCTGGGCAGCGCTGACCTTCCTTGACCCGTCCTCCCTTTGCCAGACTCTTTGCTTCCGTGTCCGAAAGATGATCGACGCTTATAAGCCTGACTGGTGCGAGGTCAGAGAGGACTGGTCGGTCTATCTCTTCTCCCCCGAGAACAGGTGGGCAGCCCGACTTAGGGTGGCCATGGGGTAGGACGATGACATTGGTGGGAGTTCTTCCATACCTCACAGCACCTTCCTGCCCAGCTGTGGGGGCTCTGCAAGGGTCCAGGTTGGAGAAATCCTCAGAAGCTAGGGGTGCTCCCATCTGGAGTGGCACCAGAGGGCTTCCTGGAGACAGGGACCTTTTGCTGAGCTTTGGAGGCAGACAGCATCCCAGTAGGTGAAGCAGAGGTTGAGAAGAGAAGGAGGGTGGTTCAGTGGAGGAAAACCTGGGAGTAGAAGCAGAAGACAGCAGACCATGTGATGTCCGTGTGTCTGTCTGGAGGATGGGGGCCGGGGTGGACAATGACCACTCTTTGGAAGGTCTTGAGTGCCCGGGCAAGCAGGTTTCTTTTAGCCTGTAGTACCAGGAGCTGCTGTTGAGGTGTGGTGAGCAGCCGTGGCTCCAGGTGGGTGCCCTGAGCAGAGTAGAGAAGCCACCTGTCATGTGTCCAGAAAAGAGAAGGTCACTTCCTCCAGGTCATCCTGGGCTCCCTGCCTTCCTCCTGGTGGTGGGAAGGGGCAGACAGATGCTCATGGGCCAACCTGTCTACTCTGTCCAGGTTCCGGGTCCTGTGTCAGACCATCATTGCTCACAGGCTCTTTGACTATGTGGTCCTGGCCTTCATCTTCCTCAACTGCATCACCATCGCCCTGGAGCGGCCCCAGATTGAGGCAGGCAGCACTGTTAGTAGCCTCGAGCAGGGCAAGGAAGGGGATGGGCCACTGGGTCACTACGGGACAATGTCTCAGGGTGAAGGGGGACCCTGGAGCACTATGGGGAGGTGGGCCTGGGACCTTGCCTCTGGAAGAGGTAGGCTGCCATAGGCTGATCTGACAGGTGAGGGGAGGGACTGTTGGGGTGGCCACAGGCCTGGGAGCCCTGGGCCTACGGTCTCCCCGCCTCTTCCAGGAACGCATCTTCCTCACTGTGTCCAACTACATCTTCACAGCCATCTTCGTGGGCGAGATGACACTTAAGGTAACTCCCAGCTTCAGCCAGGGCGCTTCACCCTCAGCTCGAGGCCCCTTGCCCTGACCTGGCCCCTTCCTCAGGTGTCACTGACATCAGTATCCACCCCACCTCCAGAGGGGCTCAGACACACCCACACCCTGCAAGAGCTCACAACTTGCCCAAAAAGCAAAGGGAGACCATCATTTGCAGTGTGGAGATGTGGGACCTGGGGGATGGACTCCCTCGGAGGTGCCCCAGGGCAGTGGCTTTGAGCAGGCTTTGCAGGAAGGAAGAGAAGGCCTTGGGGATAGAGCGCTGAAAGGGAGAACAGACCAAGTGGTCTCCGGGGCCCACTCATGCTCCCTTGCTCAGAGGGGTGGCCCTCAACTTTATCTCCTGCCCATCTTCCAACACCCGGACCTCCTCCAGGGACACTGCCTGACCCTACCCTAAAGGGACGGCTTAATCTTACCCATCCCACTGGTGGAGTCCACCTGACACCGCCCAGTGCCCCTCACTTCACCGCGGAGGCAGGGCTGACCCCGCCCCCGCCTGCCCAGGTGGTCTCCCTGGGCCTGTACTTCGGTGAACAGGCGTACCTGCGCAGCAGCTGGAATGTGTTGGACGGCTTCCTTGTCTTCGTCTCCATCATCGACATCGTCGTGTCTTTAGCCTCGGCAGGGGGAGCCAAGATCCTGGGGGTCCTCCGGGTCCTTCGGCTCCTGCGTACCCTACGCCCCCTTCGGTGAGGATCACGCCCCCAGGGGTGGTTGGTGGTCCCTGTGCAACCCTGGAAGCTGCAAGGACTTATGAGTCCTCTCCTTGCCCGCCCTCTCCCACCCCCCCACCCCCACCCCGCTTCAACCAGGCAGCCCTCTCATGCAAGCTTGTTCCAAGCTCCAGGTATTGGAGGAGGCTGCTCCTGGGGGAAGAGTCTAGAGACCCTCTGGCGGGAGGTGTGGGGTGGATGCTGAAAAGACCAGTTGGAGGGCAGGGATGGAAGATGCTCCTTCCCTCACCATTGTAGTTACCCATGTCTGTGTGTCCCTGGGTGCCTCAATGTGGTCTCTGGGCCCAGTCTCTAGAGAGGGTGTGGTGTGGTTTCCCAGGGGCATGGGGAGGTTGTCCTCCTGCCCATAGATCTGGGGTGGTTCACTGCATAACACGTGTCTCCCCACATCTGAGTGGCTGGCTGCTTTATGTTTCCTGGCATTATTGTAATACCCTAGGAGCTCCATCTGGGGACATGGGCCAGTGGGACTGTCTCCAGGCCTGGCCATGGCTCACAGTGCCCCGACCCCACTCTGTCCGCAGGGTCATCAGTCGGGCACCCGGCCTGAAGCTGGTGGTAGAGACCCTCATCTCCTCCCTCAAGCCCATTGGCAACATTGTCCTCATCTGCTGTGCCTTCTTCATCATTTTCGGCATCCTGGGGGTGCAGGTGAGGGTGGGTGCCCTGCTCAGGACTGTGAGGGCACTGTGGATGAGGACAGTGGAAGACCAGGGCAGTCAGGGGCCAGCCAGTCTGCCTAGTACCTGAGGCCGACCTTGTGCCTGCCAACCTGGGGGCTCAGGTGGTCCAGAGGGAGACAGGCTCAAATGGCCAAGTCCACACCAGGTAAAAAAGATCCCAGGTGCCACCTGCACTAGAAGCACAGGGCCATAGTGAGGGAGGGCAGAGCAAGAGGGAGGGCACCCTGGAGGAAGTGGCCTTGGCACCAATCTTGGAGGGTAGGTGTCTCCGGAGCTGGGGAGGTGAGACTGAACAGGGCACATTTGGGGAATGAGCCTAGGACCTTTGGCTGTCATAAAGGCACTGTCGACCTGGAGAGGTTCCCTTCACTTCCCCCTCTGCTTCTCAGGAGTATGGAGGTGACTTTTTCCCATGGGCCCCTGGTTCTGGTCTTCCTGGAGTTTGTAATCTAGAGTTAGACAGATAACGATGTGAGCCTTGGCACTGTCCTGGCAGTCTTAGGCAACTTGGGGAAAAATTACGTCGCATTGCTGGGCCTCAGTTTTCTCATCTGTGAGATGGGATGAGATTAGGGTTACCTTCATATTGTGGGCACTTGGTAAGATGGTGTGGTTGTATGTATGGCCCAGGCTGTGTACAGATGTGCCCATGAGGGTGGTCCCTCTTCTGATTTGGAGGATGGTCACTAACTCTTCTCTCTCCTCCTTCTTCTCCCCCTCCCCCCAGCTCTTTAAGGGCAAGTTCTATCACTGCCTGGGGGTGGATACCCGAAACATCACCAACCGCTCCGACTGCGTGGCCGCCAACTACCGCTGGGTCCATCACAAATACAATTTTGACAACTTGGGTCAGGTGAACGCCATCTTCCTACCCCTGTTCTGACCCACCCACAATGCTGCCCACCCTGCCCCAGTGGATAGGGATATGTCTCTTATCTCACAGGGTGTCTACAGGTCTTTCAGGGAATCCAGGGAACCCTGACAGGCCACTTCCTATGACTGTGCTCTCTTCTGTAAAATGGAGATGTTGTATCCACCAGGTAGATGGAGTTAGAGACTGAAATGCTTCTAGAGAAAGTCCCTTCTCCCGTCAGCCATCCTTTCCTCTCCACTCTGTCTGCAGACAGGCCCAGACCCAATTCCTGCCTCACCCCAAGTTCCCTCTCCCTAGGGCCTCCCAGTTGGGTGTCCCATGTGAAAGCCCCCACGCCCAGCTGGCTGCTGTCATAAAGCCTTGGGCCACCCACCCCATCCCCTGAAATGGCTCTCACTTCTCAAGGACCCACTTGGGGTGGGGAACCATGCCCAGGTGGAAGGGGAACATAACAGGACCCAGAGCCATCTGGCTTAGGATAGACAGTGACAGCTTTTCTGCTGAGCAGTTTCTGGCTGGACCCTGCTGAAGGGCCCACTCCCATGACATCTGGGGGAGGGGCTCATGGGACCATGGAGGGAAAGGCCGTGGACTTGGCCTCCCAGGGAAGGGCCATCAAGACGCAGTTTGCAGCTTCATCTCCACCCCCGTCCACATCAGTGTCCTGTCTTAAGTTTCATCAAATCAGCCAAGGGAGTTGTCAGGTATAAGACAGGGACAAGATGCCAGAGGAAGCTGGGGAGAAAAAGCCAGAGGACTCAGTGGAAAGAATGAAGCCAGAGTCTTTTTATGAACTTGCTCCCCATTAAAATCCCAGTCTAGCCCAAATGTCTGTGATTGGTTGATAAGTGAATGGGCTGTTTGAACCTACCCAGCAGCGCTATGAAAGAAAGACCAGAAGATTTGTTTCTGTTAAGATTGTTGTTGTTGTGAAGTGCCGTCGAGTCGGTTCCGATCCATAGCGACCTTGTATAGGGTTTCCAAGGGGCAGCTGGTGAGCTTGAACCACTGACTTTGCAGTTCAAATGGCTTTGCAGTCTGGCGCATTAACTCACAGTGCCACACCAGGACTCCAAGAAAAGCCTATAGTGCTACCTTGTAACACATGGGGTTACCATGAATCAGAATGGACGCCATGTGGCAGGTTTGGTTTTGCTTTTGGTTCTAACTCCATTCATCTGTCAGCCCACCCAAGCACCAGGCTCCCCCTCGCTTGGAGCCTCTCTCCTTTGGGTGTATTGGACACCAGTGGAATTATCTGGAGTCAGCTGTGGCTAGGGTATTCTGAGTGTGACCTCGCACTATGGTTGCAGCCTGGGTTCGAATCCTCTGGGGATTGAATCCCTCAGGCACATTCCAGAACTTCTCCATGCTTCTGCTTCCTCAAAGCGAGATTGATGATAGGCTATGTTCACTTCAGGCTCTACGACCTGAGGGCTCATGGGGTCATTTGATCTCTGGGTCAGCCCTGACTGTGTGGGAGCCTGTGTTATGGATCCACGGGTGTGGCCCAGGACATCACACTTAAGTCTTGGGATTATAAGATTCCTGAGCTCAGTTAGGTTCAGAATGCGTTTATTGAGCATCTACTAGACCAATAAGCAACATTCTTATCAAAGAAGAAAAGATTGAAGTTGTCAAGGACTTTATTCTTCTTGGATCAACTATCAACACTCATGGAAGCAGCAGTCAAGAAATCAAACAATGTATTGCATTAGGCAAATCTGCTGCACAAGACCTTTTTAAAGTGTTGAAGAGCAAAGATGTCAGCTGAGGACTAAGGTGCGCCTGATCCAAGCCATGGTATTTTCAATAACCTCATATGCATGCAAAAGCTGGACAGTGAATAAGGAAGACCGTAGAAGAATTGATGCTTTTGAGTTATGGTGTTGGAGAAGAATATTGAAAGTGCCATGGGCTAACAAAAGAACCAATAGATCCATTTTGGAAGAGTGCAGCCAGAGTGCACCTTGGAGGCCAAGATGGTCAAACTTCGTCTCTCATACTTTGGACATATTGTCAGGAAGGACCAGTCACTGGAGAAGGATATCATGTTTGGTAAGGCAGAGCCCCAGCTCGATGGCTTGGCCAAGTGGCAGCAGCAATGGACTCAAGCGTGGCAACAGTAGTGAGGTTGGCCCAGGATCGGGCAGTGTTTCGTTCTGCTGTGCATAAGGTCGCTATGAGTTAATACTGACTTGATAGCACCTAACAACAACAACAACAACTGTGTGGGATGCCCTGTGCCAGGTGCCCCAGGACACGAGAATACTGTGTAGGAGCCCTGACTGCACTCCCTGGGGTTGCCCCTTTTCTAAATCTTTCAAACCTGTGAGGATAATAAAGTTTCCTAATTTTACAGATGAGGAAACTGGGGCCCAGCGACAGCAAGGAACTTGCTCCAAATCACACAGCCAGCAAGTAGCAGAGTTTGGGCTCCGGGCTAGGAATTCCTGACTCTTTTCTCAGCTGTGTGAACTCTCATTTCAGCTCATCCCTAGCCCCCGAATGGTGTGGCTGGAACCTTCCAGATTAAAGTCTCAGCTGAGCCTCCCAGCATGCTTGACAGGCAGGCCCATGTCTGAGGAGACGGGAGGTGATGAATATTCTAGCTGAAATTGCAATTGGTTCATTTCAGAGCTGAGACTGAAGTCCAGGACTCCCAGTCCAATGCTCTTTCTCCTGCAACTGCAGAATACGTGGCAGGCACATAGCAGGTCCTCTGGAAAGGTGTGTCATTCGAGGTCATCGCTCTGCCATGCAGAGAAGACTTCCTTGTCCCCCTTCTTGTCTCTCTGCCTCCCAAAGACAGCAAGATGGAGCCTGAGCCGACCCACCCTCCTTCACCCCTGCACCTTCCCCATGTCTTCTAGGCTCTGATGTCCCTCTTTGTCCTGGCCTCCAAAGATGGCTGGGTGAACATCATGTACAACGGACTGGATGCCGTTGCTGTGGACCAGCAGGTGGGTGTGGCTGGGGTTAGATCAAGTCCAGGCAAGGATGGAGGCGTATGGGGGGCGGGTCTTTGGGGCCCAGGACTCTGAACGCAGTACTAACAAGACCCGAGGCTGTCAGTCTCTGCCCATTTCAGCCCTAGCCCAGCCCCTGGGCAGCCTGCACTGAACCTTTCACAACTGGAGCTGCCCCTTTGGCTACCTCAGTCTTTGCTCCATCTGCAGAGAGGGTGGGCCCAGCTCCTGCCAGGAGTAGCTCAGAGCCCTGTGGGTGGAGAAGTGAGCTGGGAAGAAGGAGGAGGCTTGTGCCAGCCAGGGGGGGGGGGGGGGGGGGGGCGGAGAAGCAGGCCAGAGAGTGATGCACTCAGGTAGTTGGGAGGTGAGGGCTGGAGCAGGAAGAGATGAAGGGTCTGGTGGGGGAGGAAGAGCCCAGTGTGCCCAGCTGGGGACTGGCGTGTACTCTGAGAGTAGGGAACGGTGAGCGGAGACTCAGGCAGATTTCCTGCAGGATCCCAGGGCTTCTGGGTAAGGGTTGTTTTGGGGAGGAGGCCGGGTAGAGGCTCAGGAGGAGGGGTCAGTCAGGGACTTTAGGTGAATTATTAGGTTACCAGGCTTGGTTGTCATTTGGGGGATTCTCTGGTTCAGGACAGGTTCACTCCAAGAAGTCAGGGCTGTGGGTGACCCCCAGGCCTGTAATGACCTCTGACTCTGGGCCTTGGCTCATATGATCTGTGTCCTCCTGGGGCCCAGCTTATGGGACTGAGGCTGGAGGTGTGAGGTGGGGGTGGAGGGTAGTGAGGCCAATCAGATGCTTCCTTCTCCACTCCCTTGTCTGTTCAGTTCTCCCTCCCCCCCCTCCCCCCAACACACGTGTGCTTCATTCTCTGCTCTTCTGTTACCGGCATGTGGATGGGCCCGATGTCGTCTGTGGGAACTCAGAGAGCCCGTTATGGCACTAGGGCCCTGCAGGTGTGCAGCAAGAGGCTGGGGCGTTAAAAGTTCTGTCTAAGCTTGGACCGTTCTGGGGTCTCCTGGATTCCCTGCCAGCCATAGCCTGTATCACACTGTATGACCAGGCCTGCTTACCTCCTCCACTGGCCCCTGGCTGGGAGACCCTGGGGAGCAGGGGTCACAGCCGAGTCACCTTGGTGTCCCTTTGGACACTTAGAGCATGTGCCCCTACTCTTTCTCTTCTGAATGTCTGCTTCAAACACTTGCTCCCTGTTCATCAACTACTATATATACATGGGCATTGCACCCTTGTAGATGATAGGATTATCCCTAGTTTTCATGTGAGGAAACAGGTTCAGAGGGGCCTACTTAATGTGTCCAAGGTCATGAGGTCATGGTGGGGGAGAGAACTGGGATTTGAACCTAAGTCTGCCTGGAGATCCTCCCAAGAGTGTTATAAGAGCAGATGTCCTTGAGCACCTGACCCAAGTTGCAAGTGTGGGAAAGTATAGGGTAAAAGACAAGCTGGAGGAGAGTGGCTGAGAGCTGGCGTGGGGAAGGTCTCTAGGTCAGGAAACTACAGCCAAGGGTCCTAATCGGGGCTGGCGTTCTCCTGGCAGCTCTCCTGGAGAAAGAAGCTTGTAGGTGAGATGAGCTGAACAGGCAGAAAGGAGGAGGGTAACAGGTTCATGTAGAGAAATAAACATATTATTGATTGGATGGCTAGATGGAGGAGAAGGATGTGAGGATGGATGGATGGATGGATGTTGGGTAGATGAATACATGATAGATGCATATATGAGCTTCCAGACTCTGAAGAAGGAGCGATGGACTACTTCTCAATGTTTAGTCACTGAAAACTATATGAATATCTGTCAGATAGCAACCGAATATTGAATATCAAAACATGATGAAGAACATCAGAATACTGTCAGATGTAGTGTCGGAAGAGAAGCCCCTCAGGTTGGAAGGCACTCAAAATAAGACCAGGAAAGAGCTACCCCCTCAAAGTTTAAGTTGACCATGATGATACGAATGGAATAAAGCTTTTGGGACCTTCATTTGCTGATGGGGCACAACTTAAAATGAGGAGAAACAGGTGTAAACATCCATTAGTAGCTGGAGCATGGAATGTATGCAGTATCAATAAAGGAAAGTGAGAAGTTGTCAAAAATGAAATGGAATGTATAAAGATTGATATCCTAGGAATTGGTGGTGGTGGTTATGTGCCAGGGAGTCAATTCTGACTCATAGTGACCCTGTATAGGGTTCCCAAGGTTGCACATCTTAACCGGAGCAGAAAGCCTCATCTTTCTCCTGTGGAACCGCTGGTAGTTTCCAACTGCTGATTGTGAGATTAGCAGCCTGATTCATCACCACTATGCTACCAGAGCTCCTTTCCTAGGCATTAGTGAGCTGAAATTGACAGGTATTGGCCATTTTGAATCTGACAATCATATGGTTTACTATGCCGGGAATGACAAATTGAAGAAGAATGGTGTTGCACTCATCATCAAAAAAACATTTCAAGATCTATCTTGAGGTACAATGCTGTCTGTGATAGGATAATATTCATACGCCCACAAGAAAGGTCAGTTAATACCGCTGTTGTTCAAATTTACGCACCAACCACTAAAGCCAGTATTCTGATGTTCTTCATCATGTTTTGATAGTATTTGCAATAGCTTTAGATACATATTAAAGTTGGACAAGGAACAAGGAATACTATAGAAGAACTGATGCATTTGAGTTATGGTGTTGGAGAAGAATATTAAAAGTACCATGGACTGCTAGAAGAATAAACGAATCTGTGTTGAAAGAAACACAACCAGAATGCTTTTAGAAACCAGGATGGCAAGACTTTGTGTCTTATACTTTGGACATATTTACCAACTTCTTCAGGCTGAAACTGATCAAACATGCCATCAAGATGCATTGATAATTATTGGTGATTGGAATGCAAAGGTTGGAAACAAAGAAGAAAGATCAGTAGTTAGAAAATATGGCCTTGGAGATAGAAATGATGCTGGAGTTTGCATGATAGAATTTTGTAAGACCAATGACTTCTTAATTGCAAATACCTTTTTTAACCAGCATAAAAGATGACTATACACATGGACCTCACCAGATGGGATATACAGAAATCAAACTGACTACATCTGTAGGAAGAGACAGTGGAAAAGCTCAATATCATTAGTCCAAACCAGGCCAGAGGCAGACTGTGGAAAAGACCATCAATTGCTTATATGCTAATTCAGGCTGAAGCTGAAGAAAATTAAAACAAGTCCATGACAAACAAAATTTATTCTTGAACATGTTGTTGTTGTTATGTGCCATGGAGTCGGTTCCAACTCATAGCGACTCTGTACAGTTCTTGAACATATCCTACCTGAATTTAGAGATCATCTCAAGAACAGATTTGATGCATTAGACACTAATGACTGAAGACCAAAAGAGTTGTGGAATGGCATCAAGAATATCATACAGAAAGAAAACAAAAGGTCATTAAGAAGACATGAAATAAGGAAAAGACCAAAATGGATGTCAGAAGAGACTCTGGAACTTGCTCTCCAGCATAGTGATGCTAAAGCAAAGGGAAGGAATGAGGAAGTTAAAGAGCTGAACAGAAAATTTCAAAAGGCAGTTCAAGAAGACAAAATCAGATATTTCTAACCTGGACTTATAACATCAATAATGAAGAACATGCTCAGCATTTCTCAAGCAGAAAGAACTATAGAAAAAGTTCAAGCCTCTACTTGAAATATTGAATAATTCTATGGGAAAAATATTGAATGATGCAGAAAGTATCAATAGAAGATGGAAGGGATACACAGAGTTACCATATGAAAAAAGAAATGGTCGATGTTCAACTGTTTGAAGAGATGACATATGATCAACATATGTTGAAGGAAGAAGTCCAATGTGCACTGAGGTCATTGGCAAAGAACAAGGCTTTAGGAACTGATGGAATACAAATTGAAATCTTTCAACAAACTGATGTAGCACTGGAGGCACTCACCCATCTATGCCAAGAAATTTAGAAGACAGCTACCTGGCCAACTGATTGGAAGACATCCACATTTGTGCCTATTCCAAAGAGAGTGATCCAACTAAATGCGGAAATCATTGGACAATGCCATTAAAATCACATGCAAGTAAAATTTTTCTAAAGGTGATTAAAAAACAGCTGCAACAGAACATTGACAGGGGACTGCCAGAAGTTTAAGCCAGATTCAGACGTGGACATGGAATGAGGGATATCATTGCTGACGTCAGATGGATCTTGGTTGAAAGCAGAGAATACCAGAAAGATGTTTACTTGTGCTTTATTGATTATGCAGAGGCTTTTGACTGTGTGGATCATGACAAGCTGTGGACAACATTATGGAGAATGAGTATTCCGGAACTCTTAGTTGTGCTCATGAGGAACTTGTACACGGACTAAGCGTCAGTTGTTCAAACATAACGAAAGGTACACAGAATGGTTTAAAATCAGGAAAGGTGTGTTCCAAGGTTGTATTATTCCACCATACTTATACATGAGGGCTATTGTCTTTGATCCTCATCAGTAAGAATTTTAAGTTTTCTTTGCTTTCAGCAAGCAAGGTTGTAACATCTGTGTATCATCTTCCTCCAATCCTGATGCCATGTTCTTCTTCATATAATCAAGCTTTCTGGATTATTTGCTTAGTAGACAGATTGAATTTTATTTATTGCTAGGTGCTATTGAGTTGGTTCCGACTCATAGTGACCCTGTATAAGGTTTCCAAGGAGCAGCTGATGAGTTTGAACCACTGACCTTGCACCATACCAGGATTCCATGCTTTATTGAGTATACAAAATCTTTCAGCTGCGTGGATCATGATAAGCTATGGGTGGCATTGCAAAGTATGGGTATTTCAAACTCACCATTTGTCAAAGACTTCATTTTGCTTGGATCCACGATCAATACTCATGAAAGTAGTAGTCAGGAAATCAAATGATGCATTGCATTAGGCAAATCTGCTGCACAAGACCTCTATAAATGTTCAAGTGCAAAGCTGTCAGTCTGAGGACTAAGGTGCACCTGACCAAAGCCATAGTATTTTCACTAGCTTTGTATGCATAGTAAAGTTGGACAAGGATCAAGGGATACTGTAGAAGAACTGATGCATTTGAGTTATGGTGTTGGAGAAGAATATTAAAAGTACCATGGACTTCTAGAAGAACAAACGAATCTGTGTTGAAAGAAGTACTACCAGAATGCTCTTAGAAACCAAGATGGCAACACTTTGCCTCTTATACTTTGGACATATTATCAGGAGGGACCGGTCCCTTAAGAAGGACATCATACTAGGTAAAGTGGTGGGCCAGCAAAAAAGAGGAAGAATCCCAATGATGTGGATTGGCACAATGGCAGCAGCTGTAGATAAGTGGATGGATGGGTAGATGAGTCAGTGGGTGGATAAGTGGATACATGGATGGTTAAATGGATGGATGGATGGATGGGTGGATGGGTAGGTGGATGGATGGATGGGTATATGGGTGGCTAAGTGGATGGATGGATGGATGAGTGATTAGATAAGCAGAAGGATGAATGGATGGGTGCATGGTTGGATAACTGGATGGATGGGTGGATGACTAGATAAATGGATGGATGGTGTATGGGTAGATAAATGGATGTATGGATGTATGGATGTATGTATAGGTAGATAAGTGAATGGATGGATGGATGAATGGTTAGATAAATGGATGGATGGTATATGGGTAGATAAGTGGATGGATGAATGATTAGATAAGCAGATGGATGAATGGGTGCGTGGTTGGATAACTGGATGGATGGATGATTAGATAAATGGATGGATGGTGTATGGGTAGATAAGTGGATGGATAGATGGATGAATGATTAGATAAGCAGATGGATGGATGGGTGCATGGTTGGATAACTGGATGGATGGATGGGTGGATGAATAGTTAGATGATAGATGATGGATGAAAGGGTGCATAGGTGGATTAGTAGATGCATGGGTAGGTGGGTAAATGGGTGGATAAGTTGAAACATAGAAGAATAAAAGGTTTGAGGGATGGAAGTTTTGATGGATGGATGGGTGCATGGATAGATAAGTAGATGGGGGGTGTGGGTGGGTGGGTGAGTCAGGGTGGGTTGACGGTTAAGGGAAGAAAGCAGATGGATATGTGGATTCAGGAAGCACAATTAAGTAAAGAATGGAAGGTGGGTCTCTTTGATGAGCACCCTACTCATGCCAGTCCCAGGGTGGGGTACTTTGTACCTGCTCCATCATTTCAACCTCACAGCCATCCTAGGAGGCAGGCATTATTAGCACTCCCATCCTACTGACTGGGGAGCTGAGGCTTAGTGCGGTTGGGTGCCTGCCATGGCTTGTTGGCACCCCACCAGTCTGCCTCAGCCCCATCTGGTTCCCTGTAGCCCGTGACCAACCACAATCCCTGGATGCTGCTGTACTTCATCTCCTTCCTGCTCATCGTCAGCTTTTTCGTGCTCAACATGTTTGTGGGCGTTGTGGTGGAGAACTTCCATAAGTGCCGGCAGCATCAGGAGGCCGAGGAGGCGCGGCGGCGGGAGGAGAAGCGACTGCGGCGCCTTGAGAAGAAACGCCGGAGTGAGTGGGTGAAGGTGGAGGGCCTGGCTACCCCAGCCTCCTGGATGTGACCCGAGCCTCCTGGGCCTGACCCCACCCTCCTGGACCTGACCCAAGCCTCCTGGGCATGACCCAAGCCTCCTTAGTGTGACCCGAGCCTCCTGGGTCCTTGCAGCTGGACGGAAGCAAGGGATACAGGTTCCTGTCCCCTAGGCACCACTGCTTTCCTCAGCTTCTGACTGTTCATGTGGCTTGAGCCCCACCACTGGTGCCCATCCTGTCAGATGGGTGACCTCACTGCCAGCTGGGTGAGACCCCAGAGTTTCAGACCAGGCAGATAACAGAGGCACCTGGATGACCATCCCTGAGCTGGGGACCCTGTTCCTGCCCCTGGCTGGCCAGGAGTTCTTCCCACAGGCACATTGTCTGGGGTAGAGGGAAAATCAGTGCCCTGGCACCCCTGGCCCCACTCCCATCTGAAATGCTTCTGTCCTGGGGCCCTTGGTGGTCTGGGGAGACCTGGCTGTCTGGCTTCCAGGGCCTAGAGTGGGTCGCTACCTTACCCCCTTGCTTCTTCCCTCACTTCTCTTTTATGTCCTGTGTTCTCTGCTTTCTCTCCCTTTGGGGTCTGTCCTGTCCGTTGCCACCCCACCATCCTGCAGAGGCTCAGCGGCTACCCTACTACGCCACCTACTGTCCCACCCGACTGCTCATCCATTCTATGTGCACCAGCCACTACCTGGACATCTTCATCACCTTCATCATCTGCCTCAATGTGGTCACCATGTCCCTGGAGCACTACAACCAGCCTACGGTGAGCCCCAGCCACACCTCTGGGTCCAGAGTCTCATGACCAGGTGTGGGAACCACACCCTAGGGACTGGACTGGGCAGTGGTGCTAGCTGATGGCTGGATCTGGGCAGCCACTCCATGCCAGGCTGGAATCTCAGGCATCTCCACCTGGGAAAGAAAGGTCATAGGGAAAGGTCATCCACTGTTGGTATGTGAGGGAGGCAACCTTCAGGTCTAGACTTGAGTTTGAGGTAGCAATAACTGTTCTGTGTTAAGTATTTACTCTTTACAAGGCAAGTGACATATATTGTTAATTCTTTTTCTTCTCATTGTAACCTTGAAATGGAGAGAGCTCTGTCCACATTCTATGGGTGAAGAAACCGAGTCTCAGAGAGATTAAATATCCTGTCTAGATGACCCAGCCAGGGGGAGTGGAGCAAGAACTGGACTTAGATTTCTATTCAGAGCCAGACACGTGGATATAGAAGGAAGGACATTCTGGGCAGCAGGACCATTATGGACAAATGCCCAGTGGAGGGAAAGCATGAGGGGGTGACCAGTTCCCACCTACTTTCAGAGTAGGGAGTGTGAGGGGCATGGGAGGGAATTTGCATTCTCCAGCTTCAGCCTAATAGAGTAGAGCGGAAACAAGGGGGATTCAGAACCTCTAGGTGAGGAAATTAGTATTAGAATTATCTTTCAAATACTGCTTTTAAGTGCCGTTGAGTCAGTTCCAGGTCATGGACTCTTGGTGCTGTACTGAAAGGTTGGCAGTTCAAACTCACCAGTCGCTCCTAGGAAACCCTATACAAGGAGTCAGAACTGGCTCATAGTGACCCTGTATGGATTTCCAAGAAACGGATGATGAACTTGAACTGTCCAGTGCTTTATCCTACAGAGTCAATATTATTGTTAAGCGCTGTCAAGTTGGTTCCCACTCATAGTGACCTTGTATAGGGTTCTGAGGAGTGGCTGGTGAGTTCAAACCACTCACCCTACAGTTCAAACCAAGCCTGTGGTCCAGTTCTTATTCTATAGAGCCACACCAGGACTCCAGTGCCAGGAGACGAGAGGACTGTTCGGAATGCAGTGAAAGGGAAATAGCCACTGATAGAATGGAACCGTGTTTGCAGAACTTTCAAATGACACAGAAAAGTGATATAATAATAGTTCAGACTGATCAATTATTATTCCTGTACCCAACACGGAATGGCTGTTAAGTTTTGACTAGTCCCAATTTACAGATTGAGAAACTAAGTCCAGAGAGGTCAAGTGACTTGTTCAAGGTAACATAGTGACTAAGATGAAGGTGGTGAGACAGAAATCAAATCTAGGAGAAGTGACTCTGAAGCTCTTGTTTTACATTGCAAAACAGTTTAACCACTATGCAAAACCACCTCCAAAGAAGAACAGCTAACCACACATGGAGAATTGAGGAAAAGATAAACAGAGGAAACAACAATGTAAAGCAAGTAATAAAATAAGATGTAAAGAATGAAACTAGATAAACAAATCATTGCACTAAACATTAATGGGCTAAATTCTCCCCTTAAAAAGTGGCTGCTTTCTGACTGGAGAAAGGTTGGGAGAGATCATGGAGCCTGGATCATGGTTCTGAAGTACCTCGCTAGCAGCGTCCTGTGCTGGGTTGTTACTTTTCCTCTCTCTTCGTTTGAGAGCTCAGTTAATGTCGGTGTGGCACAGTGATAACAGGGCCCCTCGATCTTCTCTTTGCCCTCTGTAGTCCCTGGAAACAGCCCTCAAGTACTGTAACTACATGTTCACCACTGTGTTTGTGCTGGAGGCTGTGCTGAAATTGGTGGCATTTGGCCTGAGGCGCTTCTTCAAGGATCGGTAAGTGGCTAGGCATAGGGTGAGCGGTGGGATGGGAAAACAGTCTTGACTCCTGGGTAAACCTACAGCAGCTGTGAGTGGGGAACCAATAAACGTCTTCTCACTGATGGCCAGGATCCCCTGGAATTATGAGAATTATGGTCTCAGCTGAGAGGTGCAGGACATTTTATCAAGCCCTTCTCTACTTATCTCCTGTGGGTCCTCTGTACTTCACAGCCACGGATACTCATTCTCTGTTTCAGAGGGAACAGTTTTCAAAAGACAGAAGGCTCAGAGAGATTGCGGGACTAGTCTGAGGCTACTTAGAACATCCAGACCAAGATGTAGACCTAAGTCAGAATCCACACCTCCTGTCCTGCTGGAGGACAGAGATGGTTGATTTAGCCTGGTGGACCCTTACTTAAGGGAATGGGGGCTGTGGAGAACAGAGAGGGGACCAAACCCAGTGGACTGGGCAGTTAGTAGGAAGGGTGACCACACAGCCCAGTGGCCACAATAGAAGGCAGAGTACTGGGGAGCTCCCCGCTACTAAGGCATGTCTAAACCAGAATTTCCTGCACCCTGCTTCTCATCCCTCCCCTCCTCTGGCCTGCTGAGTAGGTGGAACCAGCTGGACCTGGCCATTGTGCTGCTATCGGTGATGGGCATCACGCTGGAGGAGATTGAGATCAACGCTGCGTTACCCATCAATCCCACCATCATCCGCATCATGCGGGTTCTGCGCATTGCCCGTGGTGAGGGTCAGGGCGGGGAGGACAAGGAAGAACACAGGAGTGGATTGGGAGAGCGTGTGGGTACGGACGGGGAGGGCGTGAGGAGCTCCCTGCTGAGCTGGGAGGAACACACACTGGGCATATACAGTCCACCCCTCCCCTTTGACACACATACAGCCCCCACCCCCAGCTCTGCACACTGCACTCACAATCCTACTTTCTGTGGTATCCAGACCCATGGAGTTCAGTCTCTGTGGAAAAGGAGCCCAGTCCACAGTTCAGCCTGGAAGATGTGGCAAAGTAGTCCTCGATCCTCACTGGCACGATAACTGGGACAGAGTCCTCAACATAGCTTGAAAACCCCCTCTTTCCCAGTCTCTTTCATACCCAAGATTCTTCCATTTCTTTCCCCAAGCCCCCTGCCTTAATGCTTCTGACTCTGAGGTGGGGTGGAGAAAATCCTGGGTCACATTCCCAGAGTCCTCTTTAGCTGGGTGGGGGAGGGGAGAGGCATGACTGCTCATGCCCCCACATTTGCAGTCCATTAGGATTCAGTTACACTTTCTGCCCTTCCATTCCCCCACTCATGTGTGCCCTTGTTCACTTGCACTTTTACACACCAGCATCCACCTCTTGTACACGCATATTTTTGACACTGTTGTTCACCCTCAGCGTCCTTACATTCTAGCAAAGCGGCATCTGAGAGCAAGGATTCTGCACACTCATGTCCCACTGGCTGGGGCTCAAGGACTCTCAGCTTGCACGCTCCTCCATTTTCACACTCTTTCCCCACATTTCCACACATGTGCACACACACGTTCCACTGGCTGGGGCTCAAGGACTCTCAGCTTGCACACTCCTCCATTTTCACACTCTTTCCCCACATCTCCACACATGTGCACATTCACGTCCCACTGGCTGGGGCTGAGTGGGGTCGGGGTGGAATCTCGCCCACAGTGCTGAAGCTGTTGAAGATGGCCACAGGAATGCGTGCCCTGCTAGACACAGTGGTTCAGGCTCTGCCTCAGGTAAGAGCGCGCGCCCATCCTGCAGCCCTGTTTTGTTACCATCAGTGCCATCCTGGGCCCTGAGACTCAGGTCCTGGGGACTCGGACCCTGCCATCCCCTGTCCTCAAGCCTGCCCAGATCTCTGCCTGGGGAGGCAGCTTGGGCTGGGGTATAGGAGGACCCTCTGCTCTCTCGTTCCCACGTCACCAAGTGGCTGCTAGTATCTCCTCTGTACCTGGCCCTGTGTTGAGTGCGGAGGACCATGCTGCCCTTGGTGACTCACAGGTTGGTGGGGGAGACAGACACCTCAAGGAAGTATGGGGAGGGGGATGGTGGTACAGGAAAGAGAAGCTTGATGGTATAAGGAGGAGGTGGTGTGGATGGAGCACATCAGATAGGGTTTTCCAGGAAGAGGCTACATGAGACCCTCCACCCCTCCTGGTCAGGACATTTCACCTTCCCAGAAGGTCTGTAGTCCTGTCCTGGTCCCTCCTTGTCCCTGTGTCCTGCCCTTCCCCCTCCCCTCAGCACTGCCTCTGCCCCCATATGAACCTTGTTCACATTCATTTGTTCATGGTGTGCTCATCTAGTCACAAGATAAAAGGCATCTTAACCTAAAAAGCACAGGTATATCACGTGACAAATGCAGGTCAAAGATTCAGAGCCCAGGGAAGGTAGAAGCAAAGTGGATCCTCCCGGAGACCCAGGGTGAGGATGTTAATGAGCTGGGTTCTGCAGTCTGGTTTGAGTTTCCTGGTGGCCTCGTCACAAAGGAAAAGTCCACGGCTTTTCTTAGGCCTGGATGTAAAGCAAGGGTGTTTGCTCAAAGAGCTTCTCTCCTGCTCCCTGACACTAAATCCCTCAGAGGAATTTGTCACATGGAGAGGGGCTTTGAGCAACATGGAAGATGGGATCTTAGCACTTGTGCAAAAGAGTAATGTTTGTGCCCAGGTCATGTGCACTTACTAGGGGCCCAGCAGACACCAGGCAGGCCTTGGAGAGCTCAGAGACCCTGTGGGCAGTGCATCCTGGGGCAGAGTCTTTAATTCTCATGGATATAGTCCTGGGAGTGGAACTGCTGGGTCACATGGTAATCCTGTGAGGAGGCTTCTGATAGTTCATAGAAAAATTCTGTTCTCTTTTCACTCCATTTTCCCACAAACTGAAGCCCCGTGTAGTTTTGATTTTTTGAGGAACTACCACACTGTTTTCCTACCAGCAATGGGTAAGGTTCCAGTTTTCCCACATCCTGGCCAACATTTATTATTTTCCTTGTTTTTATTTTTTAAATCTTTGCCATCTTAGACAGTGTTGTGGTATCTCATTGTGATTGTGATTTGCGTTTCTCTGACGGCTAATGGCTGACACTTTTTATATGGTCAGTGGCCATTTGAATAACCTCTTTGGTGAAGTGTCTATTCCTGTCCTTTGCCCATTTTGTGACTGGGCTATCTGATGTGTTTTTGTGTTAAGAGCTGAGTGTTTCAAATGCCCATGGTTGGGCCCCATTGCTGGGGGTGGGGGTGGGGGTGGGGGTGAGGTTTGGGTGGTGTCATTGGAAAGAGAGTTCCTAGGAAGACAACAGGAGCTTGACTGTGAGGGTGAGCCCTGGGCTGGGCTGTGCAGACTGGGAGCAGGGAGAAGCTCAGACTCCAGCCGCATTGCCCTGGATCAAAGTCTCCCCCTCTGTGCGTCCCTGGACACATGACGGAATGTCTGTGTGTCTTAGTCTCCTCATGTGTGGGATAGGGATAATAGTGTTTGCCTTTTCTCCATTAATCCTAATGTTGTTTATGGCTCTGCTTGTTAGGAGTTAGGTTGTCTGGATGCTGAAGTGTAGTCCCTATAGAAAGCTTTTGATCTTCATTAGTAAGTGCTTCAAGTCCTTTTCACCTTCAGCCAGCAAAGTTGTGTCCCCTGCATTTGGCTGTGTTTTCTCTGCCAGATGGGGCAGGGTGGGGATGGGAGAAAGGGCCCTGAGATGCCCACTGCAATGAAAGGTAGTCTGACCACCACTCAGTAGCAGTAATAGATGGAGGTGGTCACTGGCTGTTGGCCTAGGGTGGAACCTCTGGTGGAGAGGGCGGCCTCTAAGACAGCCATGGAGAGCAGGAGCTGAGACCCGGTGACAGCTGTTAGGACAACATAACCATGGGCTCTGAGGCTGGCCTGAGGGGTGGTTGAGAAGTCTCTTGGGTCTGGGTTCAAGTTCTAGTTCCTCCACTGACCACGTGACCTCAGTGAGTGCCTCATCTTCTTTGAGCCTCAGTTTCCACAACTGCCAAGTGAGGGTCATGATATGCTTCTGTTGTGGGTTTCTTGATGGAATCGAAGTGGTCATACTGAAGGACTTGTTGTCCTCATTGGCTGACATATCCTCGGGGCATCAGCTTCTCACCTGGCAGGGTGAAGCCCCTCCAACTTGTTCTTCAGCCTCTGGTGACACCCCTTCCTGTCTCTGCTGAAGCTGGAGGGCTGGAGGGGGCTGGCCAGCTCTACTGACTGGGGCCCCAGCAGTGTCTGTGTTAGACAGGTGACCTCCCCACACCACCAAAGCCTGCTGTCTTGAAGACCCTCACTGTCATCTGCTTTAAACTGGGCCATCCTGCGGCCTCACGCCTGGTACGCACTCAATAAGTGCTTGTTTCATTAATGAATGGAACATCATTTAATTAGTCAGACACTATCAGTTTGATTGTTTAAGAATGGTTCAGAAGGAAACCCTTCTCTCTGGAGCAGGGAGACTGGAGGATCAGTGATGAACAGGGCTCACTTTTCAGCAATTAATGCCAACGTGTTTCTAATTCTCTCCACGCAGGCCTTTGGAGGGTTCTAGCAAACATTTCCTTTCTAGGGCAAGAGCATGCTTGAGCCTTTTTGTATCTACAGCAAGAGTTAAAGGCAGCCTCCAGCATGTGGACAGATTTGAAATAGGTTTGAAATCTGGGACGCTTTTCTCCCACAGGAACTGAGGGCTGGAGGTGGCTGGGTTTGCAGGAAGCGTCTGTGGGACCTGGTCCTGCCTGATCCTTGTTCTTCCTTATGCTTGGCCAGACCCTATGCTGGCTGAGGAGGCAGATCTGACTTAATCCAGCCACGTTTTTGCTCTTGAGAACCCCCCTCCCCTCAGGGGTTCTCAAGAGCAAGTGACCATACCCTGACTTTACCCACACTATCTGCCTGCATCTCTATCTGCCGGGAGGAATCAGGGCAGGTTTCTTGGTGGTGATGGCCTTGGAGCTGAGCTGTCCTTCCTTGTTCCGCCCCTCTCTGTTCATCCATGGACTCCTTAAGACCCCTGCACAGGGATGTAGATTACTAATGGCTTGTGTGGCCCCTGGGCCCTCCCTTCCTGCTGGGTTTGAATTCTACCTCCCGAGTACCAGCTGAGTGTACCTGGGCAAGTGACTTCACTCTGGATCCTGGTTTCTTCATCAGAGGCATGCGGGTGAAGGGAGGGATAGGTGGTTGGGGTGACGTGCTGGGTGGGAGACTTCCGGTAAAGGCATCATTCGGGACCCCTCCCTGGCCGGCCTGTCTCCAGGCAGTGATGGGGAACAACAGGCATGGACCCAGCTTGGTCCACAGGTTGCTGCTGCTCTCCTGCCCCCCTAACTTGGCTGGCACTCACCCCTGCTCTCCCTGCAGGTGGGCAACCTGGGTCTCCTGTTCATGCTGCTGTTCTTCATTTATGCCGCTCTGGGTGTGGAGCTCTTTGGGAAGCTGAGTGAGTGGTCCGGCCCACACTGGGGTGCGGAGAGGGTCTGGAGGAGGGCCGTGGTGGGGCGTTGGAAGCCTTAGACCCTCCCTTCTAGTGACATCTGGGTCTTTGGATTGGGAAGCTGCCCTCCACCACTGGGCCCACAGCAAGGTGGGTGGATGGTCCTCAGCTATCCTTACCCTGCATTGGGCAGGTGAAGAGGCATTTAAGAGACCCTGACTGAGGTCCCTGTGTGGTGGATCCCAACCTGCAGTGGACATCCCTGAGGGCCAGTCCTGTCTGTAGCCAGCACTGACCCAGCACTCAGAGAGCCAAGGCAGGAAAGGGTGTCAGAACCCACACTAAGCCTGCCCTTCACAGAGGTAGCTCTGGAGAGCAGGGATCCCTTGGGGGCTCTATCCCAACTTCTCTCCTGAACTGACTTATATGTTACCTCCCTGAGCTGCCGTTTCTCCATTTGTGGTCTGGGCACATTGCGGCACACACCTCAGAGGGTTGACTGAGGTGGGGATTTGGAGATGGGGCTGTGTAGGGGGATCTGCCTGTGGGCAGGGCTGGCTGACCTTCTCTTTCCTGTAGTCTGCAATGACGAGAACCCGTGCGAAGGCATGAGCCGCCATGCCACCTTCGAGAACTTCGGCATGGCCTTCCTCACACTTTTCCAGGTCTCCACTGGCGACAATTGGAACGGGATCATGAAGGTGCTCATGGGCAGGCAGGAGGGAGAAATGAAGGGTTCTGCTCTCTGGGATGCCTTTCTGGGCCCTCTGCCCACGTGGGAGGGGAGGGATAGGCTGAGAGAAATGCAGAGACCTGCTGGGTCCTCGCAGCAAAGCCACACAGACCAGGGAAGAACAGGTCCTCTCTGTCCACCCCTGCCTCTCCCCACTGCCCTGGGGATCAACTCTGCTCAGGGCCCAAGGGGACTCTAGGGCCAGGCAGGTCTCCCTGAGGTCTCTGTGGTGGAAACAGGTAGCGGACATGACCCACACCACACAGAACAAGAATGGCCCCCTTGGTCCTGAGGACTGGGACCCAGGGAGGCAGGAGAAGTCCAGCAGAAGGGTGGGAAGGCCTTGCCAACCCTGCTGGCTTTGGAGGCTGGGCATGAAAATCAGAGCAAGGGTAGGGAGACTCTGGTTCAAGCAACTTGGCCAGAGCCCCCAGGGCCCCAGCACAATGTACCCTGACCCAGAACTAAACTCAAAATGATTAACAAAGACCAGATTGCTGGTCAGATAGTGGCCTGGTGGAGTCCCAACACTTCAGTCTGGAACTGTACTCACCCTGTGGCTCCCTTGTTAGCCAAACAATGGTTATTGGTGGTCGTGATGTACCGTAGAGTCGGTTCTGACTCATAGCGTCCCTGTACGGGGGATTCCGAGGCTGTAACTCTTTACGGGAGCAGAAAGCCTCATTTTTCTCCTGCGGAACAGCTGGTTGTTTCAAACTGCTGTCCTTGCAATTCGCAGCCTGATTCGTAATCACTACGCTGGTCTATAAAGAGGACACCACTAGGGCAATATGCACACTCAACAATAACCATTTGAGATGAAAAGGACAGCATTTACCCCCATGGGCAAAGCTCAGAAGGGATAGGAAAGAAGGAGTGGAAGCAGGAAACACAGGGCGGAAGTGGGATGAGTGGTTAAGGTTACTGCAATCAATAAGATGAAACAAAATGTGTAGGAATTGTTCAATGGAAAACTGATGTGCTCTGCAAACCTCCACCCCACTCACAATAAAAAAATGAAACAAGAAGAACGTGTCCCATTCAGCTGTCCCGGGCTGAGCGTGACCCTCGGAGGGGAGAGCCAGGAGGAGGGCCGGCGGCCTGGTGCTCTGGACCTCACCGCCGGCACCGCCCCCTACAGGACACTCTGAGAGACTGCACGCACGATGAGCGGAGCTGCTTGAGCAGCCTGCAGTTCGTGTCGCCGCTGTACTTCGTCAGCTTCGTGCTCACGGCCCAGTTTGTGCTCATCAACGTGGTGGTGGCTGTGCTCATGAAACACCTGGACGACAGCAACAAGGAGGCGCAGGAGGACGCCGAGATGGACGCCGAGATCGAGCTCGAGATGGCCCACGGCCTAGGCCCCAGCCCCCGACCGCCCAGCGGCTCCCCAGGGGCACCGGGCCGCGGTCCGGGTGGTCCAGGCGGAGCAGGCGCTGGGGCCGACCCCGAGGGCCGCCTGCGCCGCCGCTGCTACTCTCCAGCCCAGGTGAGGGCGCGGGGGCCTAGGCGGGCGGGCACGCGGGGCTGCAAGGACCCCTGTCTTCTTGGGGCCCCACCTCATCCTGCCCGGTCCACGGGTGATCGGGCCCAGGCCAGGCCCGCCTGCCCCAGAGTCCCGACCCGGCCGATAATCCCGCCTGTCCCCGCCCCGTCCCCGTCCGCCTAGGAGAACCTGTGGTTGGACAGCGTCTCTTTAATCATCAAGGACTCCTTGGAGGGGGAGCTGACCATCATCGACAACCTGTCCGGATCCGTCTTCCACCACTACTCGTCGCCTGCCAGCTGTGACAAGTGTCACCATGACAAGCAAGAGGTAGCGGCAGGCTGGGAGGGGACCTTGGGGCGGGGGGCATTCAAAGCTCTGGAGCTGGAGAGACCAGGTGAGACTGACCCCTGTGGGCAGGTCAACCGTCCTGAGCCCAGGGTTTGTATCCATCTGGTGTGGCCTCGGAGGGCTCGAAGGGCAGTTGCCTCACCTCAGAAAGCTCTAGAACCTGGCCAGCCCGGTCCTCTAGAAGTTGTCCTTTCTGTGGTGTGAGGGGGTCCTGGGGCCCACTCCCTGCCAGGACCTTCTGTCCTGGTTCTGGGCTTCCTCCTGCCCCAGCATGGGGCACCCTCAAGTGGCTAGACTTGATGCAACTCCTTCCCCGGGCACTCCAGCCCTTGGGGGGCTGTGAGGTGACCTCTGACTTGTCCCTGCTCAGGGCGGGTCCCTAGGAATCCTTAGGTGTGAGTTTGGGTTCCAACTCTCATCCATGGTGAATATGAATTCTCTTGGGGCTTGGGGAGTCCTGGTCACACAATGGTTAAAGTACTTGGCTGCTAATTAACAGATTGGAGGAGGGTGTGGCCGTCTGTTTCTGTCAAGATGAAGGTCTGGGAGACCCTCTGGGGTGTTCCGCCCTATCCTGCATGCTCACTGTGAGTCAGAATGAACTCCACGGTAATGGGCTTGGTTTTTGGTGTTTTGTGTCCTGGCCCTTGCAGCTACCTTGGCCAACACCACACTAGGGGCTACGGGAGATCCGGGCCACTTCGAGGGACACTTGATCTGGGGTTGAACAGAGCAGTTGTGGCGTCACAGCCTATGAGACGTGCCTGATGGGCTGCCCAGATCTGCCACTGTGCTCCACTCCAGGGCCCACAGCATGACCCTGAGCTCGCCTCCCTGTCCTCTGGAGGGTGATCTGAGAGTTCCAGGGTGACCCAAAGCCCCACCTCCTCCTGCAGGTACAGCTGGCTGAGACGGAGGCCTTCTCCCTGAACTCTGACCGGTCCTCGTCCATCCTGCTGGGTGATGACCTGAGTCTTGAGGACCTCACAGCCTGCCCTCCAGGCCCCAAAAATGGCAAGGTGAGCAGCCCCGGGGATGGGGGGTGGAAGGGGGGCCTGTCCTCAAGCCTGGCCCTGACCCATCTGCTAGGACACTCTTCTCCCAGTCCACCCACTTTGTGCTGGGTTCTCGTTTTCTGTTAGACAGATGGGGCAGTGGGGCTCAGAGAGGTTGAGTGATTTACCTAAAGTCACACAGCAGTGGAACCAGCCCCGGTTCCAACCCGGTATCCCAGAGTCTCTGCTGTTCTTTGTTGCTCTGAGCACCTTTTCTCCGTCCCAGGAAGGCCCACCTCACAGGATGCTGTGAGGGTAAAAGGAACAGGGGAATCCAATCAGGTAAAGCACCTACTGTGTGCCAAGTGCATTACCGCTAATTTCTGGGCATTAGAGCTTGGAGGCTCTGAGCTGGCAGAGTGGGAGGCCATCCCTGGGACTGGTCCCCAAGTCCTGCCCTACAGCTGCTGGGGCAGTAGAAAGGGCCTCTGGTTTGATCCTGGAGCTGCAGGTTGGGGAGATGGCTTCTCTGGGTTTGTGTCCTCAAGGCCAAGTGCTTCCTGCCCTGGCCAGTGGAGAGAGCTAGGAAGCTTTGTCCAGGTGGAGATACAGTAGTCCTGCCCTCAGAGAACTTCTGTCGCTTCGACCCCCAGGCAGTCTGGACTTGGGCTGCTGCCCTCCTGGCGTGCCCTCCCTCAGCTCAGGGCAGGCTGAGAACGGGGAGTGAAGGCGATGAGGAGCCCCCTCTCCCCACCTTGTCCCCTTTGTCTCCAGGAAACCAGTAGCTTTCAGCTCCCGCAGCCACCCCAGCCCCTTCCTGCATCTCCCCACAGCCTGCACCCCACAGGATGTCAGGGTGCACAGTTTCCGGGCTCTGGTTGGGGCTTAGTGGGGTGCAGTCTGATTAATCTAGGTCATGTTTCATGCAGGACTCAGACAGCAAGTCATTGGGTCAGGGGGCCACCTGCTTCAAAGGGGCATTGAGACAGCTTCTCTGGAGCTTGCTGGGGCAGGTGCCACCTCAGGCTGCAGGGCCCATGAGGTGCTGGAAAGACCGCTGGGCCCAGAGCCAGCTCATGCTCACTGGGTAGCATCTCATGCCAAGTCCTTCCTGCCCTGGCGAGGTGGGGCATAGAGTCTGGGGCCAGGCGCTCTGTGTGCAGCCAGTGAGCAGCCGGGAAGCAGGGTACCCTCCCAGTGTGTGAACGTGGAAACTGAGGCCTTCCTAAGACCATGCTCACAAGGTGGTTTCTGATGCCTTTACTTAACCTTGACTCGGCTTCTGCGATGGATAGAGATGAGGTAGACCCTCCCCTGCCCTCAAGGATCATCGATTGAAGAGAGAAGCACACAGTGGGGGACTACTAACTGCTTTGGACAGAGGGCTTCCTGGAGGTGGGGCCCTTTCACCTGAGTTGGGAGGATGATTGTTGGCGGGTGGAAGAGTTGAGAGGTATGGCACACAGGCTGGGACCGAGATTCAGAGGTGGGCCCTGCCATGGAGTAGGGGTGTGAGGGGAGCAGTGGTCATCCGGACTCATTAACTCCCCTCCCTGCAGGGTGAGCCGGACCCGCCTGAGCCCATCCGTGTGGGGGACCTTGGGGAATGCTTCTTCCCCTTGTCCAATACGGCCGTCTCGTCCGGCCCAAAGAACTACCTGTGTGAGATGGAGACGATTCCGTTCAACCCTGTCCGGTCCTGGCTGAAACACGAGAACAGTCCAGGTGAGGGCAGGGTGTCCCACCACCTTCCCCAACCTCATCTTGATGTCTGCTTCAAAGGCAAGGGGTTGAGTTTTGCCCCTAGAGTTTTTGTTCAGCCTGTTGTATTTAATTCGGAGAGAACCAGAGGGCTATCTGACAGGAAGAGGTAGGAATCCCAGGCCTGAGAGAATAAGGATACAAGATCAACAGCCAAACGATACAGAGAGATGGGACAAAGAGTATCCCAGGAACGTCTTGTGTGCCATCGAATCTGCTCTGACGCATGGTAATCCTGTTTTGGGTTTCTGAGAGTGACTGGGGGCGTTGAACTGCTGATCTTGTGGTTCGCAGTCCAGTGCCTATCCTGAAATGACACACCAGACTCTTAGGTGTAGGGAAACTGGATGCAGAGCTTCTCAGGAACCATGGTGAGAAGGGGAACAGGTTGGCACATACATTATCCAGCAGAAGGAAAACTGCAGTATTATTCAAGTTTTCTTTTTCTAGAGTTAAAAATTTGAGAGATTAATCCTACAGACGTTCACGCAAGGTGCTAATGAACTACAGAAAGCCTGGTGTCTTCAAAGGTCTTTTGTGAAAATGTCTTAAAATTCTTCCTTGGTCCAACTATGTCCAGCTCTCCTGTATGGCTTCACTGTGGACATTGAGGATAGGAGACTGGGCTGGTCCATCCCTGGACCTCCTTCACCTCCAGTCTAAAGAGTTAAGAGGTTCAGCAGAAGAGGGCTGAGCTTATACTAGGAGCCCTTCTGGAAGAGCTGGCACTGAGCCCCTTCTAGAAGGTGCTGGCGGGGAGAGGGAGGTTCTTGTCTTGACATGATGGCTGAGACCCCAGACTTCTTGAACCAAACACCAGGACAAAAGAAGCATTTTGATTGAATGAAACTCCACCCCCTTCAGTTAACCAATGACATATTTGCATTTTCCTTAAATCATAAGAAAGCAATGGAATCAAAATCTCACTCAGGGGCATTCAGGTTATCCAATCACCTTGGGGACTTATTCACATGCCTCTGAATTACTTTGTCCCACCCTCACCATGGGAGGTAGTGAGGCCACCCTGAGCAGGGAGATGGCTCCTGCCCTATCCCACAGCCACCGAAGACCTGCCCCAGGTCTCAGACTTGCCTCTACTGGCCTTGATCACGGCATGGGAGTTAGGGCCTAAAGGCCACTGGGCCACACAGCATGGTGACCAGGACCCTCTCCATTCCCAGCCTGCTCTGTCCATCCATGGAAGGGTCAGGGAGCTCTCAGGCCTGGCCCCTCATCCCTGCCTTCCCAAGTGTGACTGATGTGGGCCTGGCTGGGGCCTCTCTAAACTGCTGCTGCTGATTTTTTTTTTAAATCTTACTGATTTTGTTGTTGTTGATGGCACAGTAGAACACACACCAGTCTAACCACAGTCTAGGGTAGGCACTGAGCTGCAAGGTCATTTAAACTGCAACCCACCAGCCGTTCCTCAGAAACCCTGTTCAGGGTTACTATGAGTCAGAACTGACTCAATGACACTTATCAACAACAACACCAACAATACAGTGACCCTGATGATTCTTCAACTTGTGCAACCTTCTCATTCCCTGCACCCCACTCCCCCCATATGTTCCTGAGTTGCTCCTCCCCATTCACAAAAGCCTCATGGGCTCCTAAGGTTCCTGTCAAAACCTCTGAGCTGCTTCTGTCCATTAGATCCCATCTAGGCAAGGAGCTCTGGTAGCGTAGTGGTTACGAATCGGGCTGCAAACCTTAAGGTCAGCAGTTTGAAACTACCAGCTGTCCCG